CTAGAAAGACAGCAGTAGACACAGAAACAAGGAGGGTTATGATTATAGTTATCTAAAATATTCCTGTAGCGTTCGTGTGGTTTATGAAGTGTGAGTGTGTCCTGAAGTGTGTGTGTGTGTCAGGCACAGCTGGTGAAGGACAGGAACTCGATGCTGCGCCTGACGAGCATCGGCTCTGACGAGGACGAGGATGCCGACGGGCCGGAGAAGAGCGCGGATCACCGGCGGGTCCACATGACCTGGACCAAAGACCGGGCCCTGCAGCTGCTCAGCAACACACACACACACACGGCCTCGTGCTGCAGCACGCCGGAGGGCTTCAGGGACATGCTGAACATACGCCCGTGAGTCGCTCACACACACACACTCACACTCTCACTCACACACACACACACACACACACACGGCCTCAGGGCTTCAGGGACATACTGAACATACGCCCGTGAGACGTACTCTCACACACACACACACACACGGCCTCAGGGCTTCAGGGACATACTGAACATACGCCCGTGAGTCGCTCACACACACACACACACACACACACACACACACACACACACACACACACACACACACACACACACACACACACACACACACGGCCTCAGGGCTTCAGGGACACACTGAACATACGCCCGTGAGACGTACTCTCACACACACACACACACACACACACACACGGCCTCAGGGCTTCAGGGACATACTGAACATTCGCCCGTAAGACGTACTCTCACACACACACACACACGGCCTCAGGGCTTCAGGGACATACTGAACATACGCCCGTGAGACGTACTCTCACACACACACACACACACACACACACACACACACACACACACACACACACAGCCTCAGGGCTTCAGGGACATACTGAACATACTCCCGTGAGACACACTCACACACACACACACACACACTCGCTCAGGGTCACATGCTCATACAGTGGTGCTGGAAAAGTTTCTGTTTTTTAGGGTGCAATATAATACCATGATCAAATGCGCTGAAAAATAGCCAAATTTTTTTTGCTTATTGTTACATATTTTTATTTATTTATTTATTTTCATTGTATTACTTTTATATCAAATATTAAAATGATAAATATATTATATTTAATAAAAAAGTAATTTTATTTATTTATTTAGATTTTTATTCCTACTATATCAGCATATTTATAATAATTACAAATAAATTGTTTTATTATATCAAGTTATAATAATATAATATTGAATATTTAAGTGGCCTGTGTCTGAACACGTGTATTTCTGGCAGAGATCAGTCTAATGTCCGGCGGATGCACACGGCTGTGAAACTCAACGAGGTGATCGTCAACAAGTCCCATGATGCTCGGCTGGTGCTGCTCAACATGCCCGGGCCGCCCAGGAACACGGACGGGGACGAGAACTGTATCCTTCTGCTGGAAGTGTTGTAGTTACATAATAACTGTGTCCTTCACTCGTGCTGTGTGTGTCTCAGGGTTTGTCCTGGGTCAGAAATGGGTGACAATTTATGTTGTCTTGGTAATGTCAAAGTGTCATAACAAAGACATCTCAAACAAGTAGGGCTGGTCCCAATTCCATTTTTTGAGCTAAACGACTTCACAAGGGAGTGCAGTGTCGTATTTGGTGCAATATAGACTTTTATTAGTCCAAGAAGAAACAAATATATTTATTAAGTATCTATAATGAAGTTATATGTTAAGTATTATATTTCACCAGATTTTATAGTGTAAAACATATTCAAGCGCGAATGAGAAGCGTTTCGAGGGGGATGCCAGGTGTGCAAAACCCAAAAAAACAAATATTCGAATGTCACAATTTCAAATTGAATACCAACCCACCGAACGAAGGGTCCAGCCCTACAAACAATGTCATATTTGCATTAAAAATGTCATAATTGAGCGAATGACACTTTATGACAGTTGTCATAAACATGCATAAAACCTCCTTCATATTCATGACATGTGTCCTGTCAGTCTTATGAAGGTGTCATGTCAGTCTTATGAAGGTGTCCTGTCAGTCTTATGAAGGTGTCCTGTCAGTCTTATGAAGGTGTCATGTCAGTCTTATGAAGGTGTCCTGTCAGTCTTATGAAGGTGTCCTGTCAGTCTTATGAAGCTGTCCTCTCAGTCTTATGCAGGTGTCCTGCCAGTCTTATGAAGGTGTCCTGTCAGTCTTACAAAGGTGTCATGTCAGTCTTATGAAGGTGTCCTGTCAGTCTTATGAAGGTGTCCTGTCAGTCTTATGAAGGTGTCATGTCAGTCTTATGAAGGTGTCCTGTCAGTCTTATGAAGGTGTCCTGTCAGTCTTATGAAGCTGTCCTCTCAGTCTTATGAAGGTGTCCTGTCAGTCTTATGAAGGTGTCCTGTCAGTCTTACAAAGGTGTCATGTCAGTTTTACAAAGGTGTCCTGTCAGTCTTACAAAGGTGTCCTGTCAGTCTTACAAAGGTGTCATGTCAGTCTTACAAAGGTGTCATGTCAGTCTTATGAAGGTGTCATGTCAGGTGTCCTGTCAGTCTTACAAAGGTGTCATGTCAGTCTTACGAAGGTGTCATGTCAGTCTTACGAAGGTGTCCTGTCAGTCTTATGAAGGTGTCCTGTCAGTCTTATGAAGGTGTCCTGTCGTCTTATGAAGGTGTCCTGTCAGTCTTATGAAGGTGTCCTGTCGTCTTATGAAGGTGTCCTGTCGTCTTATGAAGGTGTCCTGTCAGTCTTGGTGTCATGTCAGTCTTATGAAGGTGTCCTGTCAGTCTTATGAAGGTGTCATGTCAGTCTTACGAAGGTGTCCTGTCAGTCTTACGAAGGTGTCCTGTCAGTCTTATGAAGGTGTCCTGTCAGTCTTACAAAGGTGTCCTGTCAGTCTTACGAAGGTGTCCTGTCAGTCTTATGAAGGTGTCATGTCAGTCTTATGAAGGTGTCATGTCAGTCTTATGAAGGTGTCATGTCAGGTGTCCTGTCAGTCTTACAAAGGTGTCATGTCAGTCTTACGAAGGTGTCATGTCAGTCTTACGAAGGTGTCCTGTCAGTCTTATGAAGGTGTCCTGTCAGTCTTATGAAGGTGTCCTGTCGTCTTATGAAGGTGTCCTGTCAGTCTTATGAAGGTGTCCTGTCGTCTTATGAAGGTGTCCTGTCGTCTTATGAAGGTGTCCTGTCAGTCTTGGTGTCATGTCAGTCTTATGAAGGTGTCCTGTCAGTCTTATGAAGGTGTCATGTCAGTCTTACGAAGGTGTCCTGTCAGTCTTACGAAGGTGTCCTGTCAGTCTTATGAAGGTGTCCTGTCAGTCTTACAAAGGTGTCCTGTCAGTCTTACGAAGGTGTCCTGTCAGTCTTATGAAGGTGTCATGTCAGTCTTATGAAGGTGTCATGTCAGTCTTACGAAGGTGTCCTCTCAGTCTTATGAAGGTGTCATGTCAGTCTTATGAAGGTGTCATGTCAGGTGTCCTGTCAGTCTTATGAAGGTGTCATGTCAGTCTTATGAAGGTGTCCTGTCAGTCTTATGAAGGTGTCCTGTCAGTCTTATGAAGGTGTCCTGTCAGTCTTATGAAGGTGTCATGTCAGTCTTATGAAGGTGTCCTGTCAGTCTTATGAAGGTGTCATGTCAGTCTTATGAAGGTGTCATGTCACTCTTATGAAGGTGTCCTGTCAGTCTTACAAAGGTGTCATGTCAGTCTTACGAAGGTGTCCTGTCAGTCTTATGAAGGTGTCATGTCAGTCTTATGAAGGTGTCATGTCAGTCTTATGAAGGTGTCCTGTCAGTCTTATGAAGGTGTCCTGTCAGTCTTACAAAGGTGTCATGTCAGTCTTACGAAGGTGTCCTGTCAGTCTTATGAAGGTGTCATGTCAGTCTTATGAAGGTGTCATGTCAGTCTTACGAAGGTGTCCTGTCAGTCTTATGAAGGTGTCCTGTCAGTCTTATGAAGGTGTCATGTCAGGTGTCCTGTCAGTCTTATGAAGGTGTCATGTCAGTCTTATGAAGGTGTCCTGTCAGTCTTTTGAAGGTGTCCTGTCAGTCTTATGAAGGTGTCCTGTCAGTCTTATGAAGGTGTCATGTCAGTCTTATGAAGGTGTCCTGTCAGTCTTATGAAGGTGTCATGTCAGTCTTATGAAGGTGTCATGTCACTCTTATGAAGGTGTCCTGTCAGTCTTATGCAGGTGTCCTGTCAGTCTTACGAAGGTGTCCTGTCAGTCTTATGCAGGTGTCATGTCAGTCTTTTGAAGGTGTCATGTCAGTCTTATGAAGGTGTCGTGTCAGTCTTATGAAGGTGTCATGTCAGTCTTACGAAGGTGTCCTGTCAGTCTTATGAAGGTGTCCTGTCAGTCTTACAAAGGTGTCATGTCAGTCTTACGAAGGTGTCATGTCAGTCTTACGAAGGTGTCATGTCAGTCTTACGAAGGTGTCCTGTCAGTCTTATGAAGGTGTCCTGTCAGTCTTATGAAGGTGTCCTGTCGTCTTTTGAAGGTGTCCTGTCAGTCTTATGAAGGTGTCCTGTCAGTCTTATGAAGGTGTCCTGTCGTCTTTTGAAGGTGTCCTGTCAGTCTTATGAAGGTGTCCTGTCGTCTTATGAAGGTGTCCTGTCGTCTTATGAAGGTGTCCTGTCAGTCTTGGTGTCATGTCAGTCTTATGAAGGTGTCCTGTCAGTCTTATGAAGGTGTCATGTCAGTCTTACGAAGGTGTCATGTCAGGTGTCCTGTCAGTCTTATGAAGGTGTCATGTCAGTCTTATGAAGGTGTCCTGTCAGTCTTTTGAAGGTGTCCTGTCAGTCTTATGAAGGTGTCCTGTCAGTCTTATGAAGGTGTCATGTCAGTCTTATGAAGGTGTCCTGTCAGTCTTATGAAGGTGTCATGTCAGTCTTATGAAGGTGTCATGTCACTCTTATGAAGGTGTCATGTCAGTCTTATGAAGGTGTCGTGTCAGTCTTATGAAGGTGTCATGTCAGTCTTACGAAGGTGTCCTGTCAGTCTTATGAAGGTGTCCTGTCAGTCTTACAAAGGTGTCATGTCAGTCTTACGAAGGTGTCATGTCAGTCTTACGAAGGTGTCATGTCAGTCTTACGAAGGTGTCCTGTCAGTCTTATGAAGGTGTCCTGTCAGTCTTATGAAGGTGTCCTGTCGTCTTTTGAAGGTGTCCTGTCAGTCTTATGAAGGTGTCCTGTCGTCTTATGAAGGTGTCCTGTCGTCTTATGAAGGTGTCCTGTCAGTCTTGGTGTCATGTCAGTCTTATGAAGGTGTCCTGTCAGTCTTATGAAGGTGTCATGTCAGTCTTACGAAGGTGTCCTGTCAGTCTTACGAAGGTGTCCTGTCAGTCTTATGAAGGTGTCCTGTCAGTCTTATGAAGGTGTCATGTCAGTCTTATGAAGGTGTCATGTCAGTCTTACGAAGGTGTCCTGTCAGTCTTATGAAGGTGTCATGTCAGTCTTATGAAGGTGTCATGTCAGGTGTCCTGTCAGTCTTATGAAGGTGTCATGTCAGTCTTATGAAGGTGTCCTGTCAGTCTTATGAAGGTGTCCTGTCAGTCTTATGAAGGTGTCCTGTCAGTCTTATGAAGGTGTCATGTCAGTCTTATGAAGGTGTCCTGTCAGTCTTATGAAGGTGTCATGTCAGTCTTATGAAGGTGTCATGTCACTCTTATGAAGGTGTCCTGTCAGTCTTACAAAGGTGTCATGTCAGTCTTACGAAGGTGTCCTGTCAGTCTTATGAAGGTGTCATGTCAGTCTTATGAAGGTGTCATGTCAGTCTTATGAAGGTGTCCTGTCAGTCTTATGAAGGTGTCCTGTCAGTCTTACAAAGGTGTCATGTCAGTCTTACGAAGGTGTCCTGTCAGTCTTATGAAGGTGTCCTGTCAGTCTTATGAAGGTGTCATGTCAGTCTTACGAAGGTGTCCTGTCAGTCTTATGAAGGTGTCATGTCAGTCTTATGAAGGTGTCATGTCAGGTGTCCTGTCAGTCTTATGAAGGTGTCATGTCAGTCTTATGAAGGTGTCCTGTCAGTCTTTTGAAGGTGTCCTGTCAGTCTTATGAAGGTGTCCTGTCAGTCTTATGAAGGTGTCATGTCAGTCTTATGAAGGTGTCCTGTCAGTCTTATGAAGGTGTCATGTCAGTCTTATGAAGGTGTCATGTCACTCTTATGAAGGTGTCCTGTCAGTCTTATGCAGGTGTCCTGTCAGTCTTACGAAGGTGTCCTGTCAGTCTTATGCAGGTGTCATGTCAGTCTTTTGAAGGTGTCATGTCAGTCTTATGAAGGTGTCGTGTCAGTCTTATGAAGGTGTCATGTCAGTCTTACGAAGGTGTCCTGTCAGTCTTATGAAGGTGTCCTGTCAGTCTTATGAAGGTGTCCTGTCAGTCTTATGAAGGTGTCCTGTCAGTCTTATGAAGGTGTCCTGTCGTCTTATGAATGTGTCCTGTCAGTCTTATGAAGGTGTCCTGTCGTCTTATGAAGGTGTCCTGTCGTCTTATGAAGGTGTCCTGTCAGTCTTGGTGTCATGTCAGTCTTATGAAGGTGTCCTGTCAGTCTTATGAAGGTGTCATGTCAGTCTTACGAAGGTGTCCTGTCAGTCTTACGAAGGTGTCCTGTCAGTCTTATGAAGGTGTCCTGTCAGTCTTACAAAGGTGTCCTGTCAGTCTTACGAAGGTGTCCTGTCAGTCTTATGAAGGTGTCATGTCAGTCTTATGAAGGTGTCATGTCAGTCTTACGAAGGTGTCCTGTCAGTCTTATGAAGGTGTCATGTCAGTCTTATGAAGGTGTCATGTCAGGTGTCCTGTCAGTCTTATGAAGGTGTCATGTCAGTCTTATGAAGGTGTCCTGTCAGTCTTATGAAGGTGTCCTGTCAGTCTTATGAAGGTGTCCTGTCAGTCTTATGAAGGTGTCATGTCAGTCTTATGAAGGTGTCCTGTCAGTCTTATGAAGGTGTCATGTCAGTCTTATGAAGGTGTCATGTCACTCTTACGAAGGTGTCCTGTCAGTCTTACAAAGGTGTCATGTCAGTCTTACGAAGGTGTCCTGTCAGTCTTATGAAGGTGTCATGTCAGTCTTATGAAGGTGTCATGTCAGTCTTATGAAGGTGTCCTGTCAGTCTTATGAAGGTGTCCTGTCAGTCTTACAAAGGTGTCATGTCAGTCTTACGAAGGTGTCCTGTCAGTCTTATGAAGGTGTCATGTCAGTCTTATGAAGGTGTCCTGTCAGTCTTATGAAGGTGTCATGTCAGTGTTATGAAGGTGTCATGTCAGTCTTATGCACACCCCTTCAAGTAAAGTGTTACCGAATATTTTCACACAAAATGAACTAGGGCTGGTTAATCTGTCTGATTTCCCGATTCGATTCGATTACGATTATTGAAGTGCCGATTCGATTACAGTCGATTTTCGATTATTAACGATTCTCGATTAGCGATTATTGATTTTCCATTTCACAACAGTAAACGAAAATACACTACAAAGTGTCTGCAGTATTAAAAAAAGTCAGCTGCTGAATTACTTAACTCTTTTATTGAGTAACAGCAACTCAAAGCACTTTCTGTGTCGTGTAGTTATAACTTCACAATTATTTGTATGTAGCTTATGTTCTGTAGAACACAGAAATGAATACATCACATTGTGTTGTGACTCATCAAGTTGAACTAAACAATAACAAATAAATGAAAGGCTTATTTCCTTTAGGAAGTAGATCAGAACCAACATACTGTAGAAATTGGACAATTTTCTTCTAGAAAGACAAGGTGTTGTAGCAAGCAACGCTCGTTAGGCCGGAGACACACTGGCTGTGGCGTGAGCGTGGCGTTTCTGTTGCGTGTCAGCTGCGTCGCGTTTTCTGTGTCTTTGCACACCAGAAACGTGTCTGACGTGGCGCCGCTGCTGCTAGGTGACATAGAGGGACCGTCTACATTTGGGTTAGCGGTGTGTTAATCCTTACTACAACAATTTCAACTCTTGCCTCTTGCCTTTACGACAACAATTTCAACTCTTGCCTTTACGACAACAATTTCAACTGTTATCACACATCTTCCAAAATCCGAAAAATAGGGAAGTGGGCTGTCTGTTTATTTCAATAACATTTACAAATTTTGTGTAGCTTTAAAGAGCCTATATTTAGCCTGATGGTGGACCGTCACTCAGAAGACACACTATGTTGTTATTGTAGCCTATTATCTTTATATCCTCCTGAGGCCCAGACCGTTTTTTTTTAAAGTTTTTTTCTTCTTCATGTAATCACATTGTTAAGAGCATAAGAAACAAATGAAAAAAAAGAGATATTTTATTCATATGTTATGCTATGACCTCTGTAGTGAACACCAGGACTCGATTGTTTAAAAAATAAAAATGACATAAATTTGTATATAGGCAAAAATAATGGCAATATTTGAAAATCGATAATTATTATTATTATTATTTGTTTGAATTACATTGATATCTGAATTTATATCAAAACCTACACTTTCAAACATCAAAATGTAATTTATTAATATGTATTCGTGTACAAAATGACATATAAACATCGTTTCCTATTCTATTCTGCCTGGAAACGCTTCCAACACGCTTGCGTGTCGCGTGAAAAATAGGCGTCGGTTCTATTTCTAGCATGCACGCGTTTCCCGCGCGGCTCATGCAGGCAGTGTGCAAGCTCCCTCGCTCTGGCTGCCGTTACACGCGCTTGCTAACTGGAACTGGGCGCGTTCGTGACGTTCAACTTCCGGTATAACATTTTTTACAAAATAAAATAATGCAAATTTTTTTTTTTATATATAATAAAAAATCGATTTTTGAAAATGTAATAATCGATTCATACTCGTCCATAACATACTCGCGATTAATCAATAATCGATTTTTTTCACCACCCCTAAAATGAACACTGCAGCCCGTCTGATATCGATATAAAGACAGTTCGCATGGCTGTGAACGTGATATTGCTCATATACATATACAAGTACATGATACAGCTTTCATTCTTGCGCTCCATCATAATTAATGGTGAAAAACCAGTTTGAATAAGGAAAGCGATTTCTTTATCACAGTATCCTTTCAATGGTTAAAGTTTCCAGTCGTTGTATTCGTTGCACTTTATTCGTACCATTTAGTTTCATTAGTTCATCTTTATTTATCCGTTTGCCTTTTTTAGAATTTGAAAGATAATGATATTGTTTGATAAGTGAAATCTCTGATTATAGCCCTTGAAAGTCCTGGAATTTCATTTTTCAGTGTCTGTACGAACCCTGTTCATAAAGACGCAAGATCGCTGTGAAAATACAAACCGGAAGACAAAAGGCAACGAGCGCAGAGCTGAGAAGGGGCGGGGCTACAGAAGCGCTATACAATTAGCAGCTAGCTAACAACAACTTGCTTTATAAATATAAATATTGATGCTCCTTGACCCGGTCTCCCTCAGACATGGAGTTCCTGGAAGTGCTGACCGAGGGTCTCGAGCGAGTCCTGCTCGTGCGAGGCGGAGGAAGTGAGGTCATCACCATCTACTCCTGAGAGCCAATCACAGGCCAGCGAGGGGACGCGTGTGTCTAACTCTGCCAGCCGCGTCTCTCGCCCGCGCTCTAATAACAATAACAATAATAATTTGATTTTAGTTTTTGCGCCGCCACAACCGAACGACGACATGCAGCAATATCTGTGCACACATATGATGTCATCGAGCCAGGTGCATGTGACGGACCAATCGCGCGACTGACTCAGGGCCGAAGCGTTTGAACTGGACCTAGTGTGTGTGTGTGTGTGTGTGTGAGAGCAGGAGGTCTTAAGGAATCTGAACATGAACGTTAAACTAATGCGATGTTCGGTGAAACACAGAGCGCTCGTAGCGGCGATGCGTGCGACTCAGAGATGCACTGATGCATCATGGGTGACTCGCTGCGTTGCCTGGAAACGGCCGCTCTGTGCTCCGCGATTGGCTGCAGCGGCGAGAGGGCGGCGTCTGTGGAGTGCCGAGCCTGACATCATCATCATAAACACATTTTCACTTTAAGTTTCTGATATGTTTTTCATGTGTTCGTGTGTCTATTTCTCGTGGCCACGGGTTACATGTAGACAGAGATACATATATAAATGTGAAAAGTGATAATAAATAATGAAAAAAAAATTGGAAAAATATACAATTATACATAAATAAGGAAATACAAGTATAAAAAAGTACTGTTTTTATATTTCTTGGTTGATATCTGTGTGTGTGTGTGTGTGTCAGGGTTGGCGTTGTGTAACGGTCATGTGACGCCGCTCGCTCGCGCTGGTTCTGCATGATAAACCGAGATCATCGTAGCAATACATGCGCTGTGTGTGTGTGTGTGTGTGTGTGTGTGTGTGTGTGTGTGTGTGTGTGTGTGTGTGTGTGAGAGAGACCTGTCGCTCCTGCTGAACCCCTGCAGTGATCGTGTGTGTGTGTGTGTGTGTGTGTGAGACCTGTCGCTCCTGCTGAACCCCTGCAGTGATCACGTGTGTGTGTGTGTGTTTGTGTGTGTGTGTGACCTGTCGCTCCTGCTGAACCCCTGCAGTGATCACGTGTGTGTGTGTGTGTGTGTGTGTGTGTGTGTGTGTGTGTGTGAGTGAGAGAGAGACCTGTCGCTCCTGCTGAACCCCTGCAGTGATCACGTGTGTGTGTGTGTGTGTGTGTGTGTGTGTGTGTGTGTGTGTGTGTGTGTGTGTGTGTGTGTGTGTGTGTGTGAGAGACCTGTCGCTCCTGCTGAACCCCTGCAGTGATCGTGTGTGTGTGTGTGTGTGTGTGTGTGTGTGTGTGTGTGAGAGACCTGTCGCTCCTGCTGAACCCCTGCAGTGATCGTGTGTGTGTGTGTGTGTGTGTGTGTGTGTGTGTGTGTGAGAGACCTGTCGCTCCTGCTGAACCCCTGCAGTGATCGTGTGTGTGTGTGTGTGTGTGTGTGTGTGTGTGTGTGTGTGTGTGTGTGTGAGAGACCTGTCGCTCCTGCTGAACCCCTGCAGTGATCGTGTGTGTGTGTGTGTGTGTGTGTGTGTGTGTGTGTGTGTGAGAGACCTGTCGCTCCTGCTGAACCCCTGCAGTGATCGTGTGTGTGTGTGTGTGTGTGTGTGTGTGTGTGTGTGTGTGTGTGTGTGAGACCTGTCGCTCCTGCTGAACCCCTGCAGTGATCGTGTGTGTGTGTGTGTGTGTGTGTGTGTGTGTGAGAGACCTGTCGCTCCTGCTGAACCCCTGCAGTGATCGTGTGTGTGTGTGTGTGTGTGTGTGTGTGTGTGTGTGAGACCTGTCGCTCCTGCTGAACCCCTGGAGTGATCGTGTGTGTGTATGTGTGTGTGTGTGTGTGTGTGTGTGTGTGTGTGTGTGAGACCTGTCGCTCCTGCTGAACCCCTGCAGTGATCGTGTGTGTGTGTGTGTGTGTGTGTGTGTGTGTGTGTGAGCTGTCGCTCCTGCTGAACCCCTGGAGTGATCACGTGTGTGTATGTGTGTGTGTGTGTGTGTGTGTGTGTGTGTGTGTGTGTGAGACCTGTCGCTCCTGCTGAACCCCTGCAGTGATCGTGTGTGTGTGTGTGTGTGTGTGTGTGTGTGTGTGTGAGCTGTCGCTCCTGCTGAACCCCTGGAGTGATCACGTGTGTGTATGTGTGTGTGTGTGTGTGTGTGTGTGAGACCTGTCGCTCCTGCTGAACCCCTGCAGTGATCGTGTGTGTGTGTGTGTGTGTGTGTGTGTGTGTGTGTGTGTGAGCTGTCGCTCCTGCTGAACCCCTGGAGTGATCACGTGTGTGTGTGTGTGTGTGTGTGTGTGTGTGTGTGTGTGTGTGTGTGTGTGTGTGTGAGACCTGTCGCTCATGCTGAACCCCTGGAGTGATCACGTGTGTGTGTGTGTGTGTGTGTGTGTGTGTGTGTGTGTGTGTGTGTGTGTGTGTGAGACCTGTCGCTCCTGCTGAACCCCTGCAGTGATCACGTGTGTGTGTGTGTGTGTGTGTGTGTGTGTGTGTGTGTGTGTGTGTGTGTGTGTGTGTGAGACCTGTCGCTCCTGCTGAACCCCTGGAGTGATCACGTGTGTGTGTGTGTGAGAGACCTGTCGCTCCTGCTGAACCCCTGCAGTGATCACGTGTGTGTGTGTGTGTGTGTGTGTGTGTGTGTGTGTGTGTGTGTGTGTGTGTGTGTGTGTGAGACCTGTCGCTCCTGCTGAACCCCTGGAGTGATCACGTGTGTGTGTGTGTGTGTGTGTGTGTGTGTGTGTCCTGCTTTATCTGTAGAGGTGTATGCATTTATGTTTTTTAACTTTTGATCATAAGTTGCTTACATGTTTATGTGCAGGGATTGTGAATTTCTTTGTCATTGTTCAATCGCAAGTGTTATCTGCTATTTGTATCACGTTAAATAATAAAACCACAGTTATACATCTCTTTTAAAAATGCAAACTTGCTGTTTTCTTGTTTCTGTCGCCTGGGAATCTGCGGACGCTTTCATTCATACGCAACATTTAAACTCATATGGAAAATAAGGTATTATTGTTTTATGAATTTGGTTTTATCTTACTAAGCAACAGTGGAGATTTATATTCTTATAATGTTTTTGATAAATATGGAATAAATGCTTCAAAACAGAAGTATATTAATCTTACAAATATGATTCCCTCTACCTTGTTGTTGTTAGTGAAATATCTTACAAAATATATAATAATTTGAGTTTAAATATCCCTTATTCTTTATTAACAGTATTATGGAAACCAAATGTACAAATAAATTATTAAAAATTATTTAATTATTTCAATTAAATGTTTTTACTATATTTTAGTCCGATAATACTTTTTTATTTAATGTTTTGTATGTTCAGGGGTTGTTTATGGTACTAAATTATAATTATGCAGTAGTTATAACATTTTACATTTATTGTTATGAAAAATGCACTCAATATTTACGTTATTTACCTCAGCAAAGCCATTTAATGACCATATGTAGAAAAAATAGCTTAGTATTTAATAAAATAATACATTTTAATATTTATAAACTATAATAAAATTAATATTTTACTAAATATGTGCACTATATTGCATATTTATTATATTTTTTACTTATAACATTAAAATATTAACGTTAAATTGTACCGTAAAGTAACGTTATTTTAATAAACGTAAATATTAGTCATAAGCTTAGTTTTTCACTGGTGTTTCTGACAGGACTTGGTTTGTATGATGGGTAAATACTCTCAAAGCAAGATACCTTACATTTAAACCGAACTATAAAGTATTTGTTGAAAAGATCCCATATTATAGAAAAGTCTTTACGGAAGAAAACAACAACAGTTTCTGTGGTGGGCGGGGCCTCTACGTCACTTCCGCTCATCTCTAACCCGGAAAAGCGGGTGCCATGATGGGCGATTTGTTTGTGTTTTTTCCGTGAGAATCGCTCTGATCGGACAAACACACACACTCACACACACAAACAGAGAGAAAAGCGTGTCGATTTCAGGGCGAGTATGGAGGTAAGAAGACCAAGCTGTCAGTAGAAAGTGCTGAATGTGTGTATAAGTTAAAGCCCGAAGCATCAGTGAAAACTCATTCAGTCCCATCAGCACACTCCTCTTCAAATATACACAACTATTCGATTAAATATACACTCATAAACACCTTAATGTATTGTAAAGAATAAACTTGGAGCCATTGAAGTATTAATAATATAGTCATGATATGGAACACGTAATGTTTACTCTTTAATAGGCCGTGGGACATACCATTACCGCGCGCCAGTGGGGTTTTATTATTTATTAAACGACACAATTAATTACTAATAATGGTGTTTACAGTCTTCGCGCTTTAGTTGTGTGTATTTACGATATATTTGGATCCCGTTATGTTTATAAAAGAGTGTCATTTGCAGTACGCATCGCTTTATATGTTATATTAAATCAGACCTCGTCCCCCGTCGAGTGTCAGATCCGTGATTCCGGCTCGATTGCGGTTCCTGAAGCTTGTGCACGAGCAGCGCTGAGATCAGCTGGAAAAGCGCGAGTCGATCGGATGTTTTTAAACGCATATGTGTATTAACGCGTTTCAAAGCCTTCATAACAACAGCTGATTCTCTTTATTCACGGAGAGTGTGGTTGTGTCTGTTAATGTATTACGGGGTTGTCACGTGCTGTGCTGTCATTCACCTCACGTCAATGCGGACTCGAGTCGGAATCATCAAACGCGATTGATTCAGTGTGTCTGTTTCGCGTCGTAAGGGTGTAAAATGTGTATTACAGGGTTGTAACGGTTGTTTTTGCATGTGATCGGAACCGCAGTGCGCGACTGCAGGCCTGAAATCGAACGGAATGATCGAACGCGCGTGCCCGATTCAGTCCTCGTGACGTCACGGAGTTCCTTCGGTGCGTTTTGACAGGTTCTCGCGGCGGTTAGTTTAACGTTTCCTCGGGTTTCGTAGGTCTCGGTGCCGCCGATTCACCGCGACATGGACCTGAATTTTTACGCGGATCTCTCGGACGGAAGCGGGAATCCCGGTGACCCGGAGTTCCTGGATCCGCAGGCGTTTAACGGGTTCGATGCCGTCCAGAAGGTGACCGGAGCGCACGCTCATGGAGAACCGGGAAATGTCTGGGAATTTAGTCTGGGAAATTTATATTTTAAAGTTCTATATTTTTCTTGTATGTCAGAGTTGCGTGATGTTATTATTTCCGTGAATTAATTTTAATATTAAATTGCTCTTTTTGAGTGAAATGTCTTTGAATTATCTGTAAATATTTTTTTTCTGTGATTTTTTTTTTTTTTTTTTTTGGAAGAACATCCATGCAGCTCATTTATATTTTACATTTATTTATTTTTGTATATTATTTTTAATATTAAATTGCTTTTCGTGAGTTTTTTCTAAATTAACTTTCTCTAAATTATTTTAGTTTTTATTAATGATTTTTTTGAAGAACATTCAAGCAAAATTTTTATATTGTTAAGTTTTGTATATTTGTATATTATTTTTAATATTAAATTGCTCTTTATGAATGCAATTTCTATACATGTTCTGTAAATTATTATTTTCATGAAACGAGATTTTTTGAAGAACTTTCACTCAGCTCCTTTATATTTTAATTTTCGATGTTTAATTTTTACTTTATTTTTGTATATTATATTAAATATTAAATTTCTCCTCTCATTCTGTAAATTTGCATAGTGATTGATTACAGTAATTTTATAATTATAGTATTTACCAGGTACTGTACCAAAGAAACATGGTGTTTTTGTTTGTGAAATCCCCTGGGTCGTTATGTTTTTATCAATTTGCATCAGCATTCACATTATTAAAGTTTGACATTATGAATTGATATAAGATGCGTTCCTCATGTTGTGTGTTTGTGTTTTCCTCAGTTCCCAGGAGGCAATGACAACTTCCTGTCCATCAGCGACGAGGGGCATCACTTCCTGTCCTCCTCAGAGGTACGACTCTCCACGTTCCCCGCGCAAATCCAGCACGCAGAGGTGCCTCACACACACACACACACTCACACACACTCACAAACACACACACATACACCCACATGCAGTCACACTCTCTCACACACAAACACACTCACTCACACACGCTCACAAACACACACACATACACCCACATGCAGTCACACTCTCTCACACACACACACACACACGTACACTCACACTCTCTCTCACACACACACACACACACGCACGCACATACACGTGCACTCACACACACACACACACACACACACACACACACTCACACACTCACAAACACATACACCCACATGCAGTCACACTCTCTCACACACACACACACACACGTACACTCACACTCTCTCTCACACACACACACACACACACGCACGCACATACACGTGCACTCACACACACACACACACACACACACACACACACACGTACACTCACACTCTCTCACACACAAACACACTCACTCACTCACACACACACACACGCACGCACATAGTGTGGTCACACACCCACGCACGCACATAGTGTGGTCACACACCCACACACACACATAGTGTGGTCACACACCCACACACACACATAGTGTGGTCACACACACACACACGCACATACATGTACTCTCTCACACACACACACACACACACGTACACTCACACTCTCTCTCTCTCACACACACACACACACACACATGCACTCACACTCTCATACACAAACACACTCACTCACTCACACAGTGTGGTCACACACGCACATACATGTACTCTCTCACACACACTCACACACACTCTCTCTCTCACACACACACACACACACACACACACACACACACACACGCACATACATGTACTCACTCACACACACTCTCTCACACACACGCACATGCACTCACACTCTCACACACACTCTCACACACAAACACACTCACTCACTCACACATAGTGTGGTCACACACACACACTCACACACACTCTCTCACACACACACACACACACACGCACATACATGTACTCTCTCACGCACACTCACACACACTCTCTCACACACACACACACACACACACATGCACTCACACTCTCACACACAAACACACTCACTCACTCACTCACACATAGTGTGGTCACACACACACACACACACACACACACGCACATACATGTACTCTCTCACACACACTCACACACACACACACACGCACATACATGTACTCTCTCACACACACTCACACACACTCTCTCACACACACACACACGCACATACATGTACTCTCTCACACACACTCACACACACTCTCTCACACACACACACACGCACATACATGTACTCTCTCACGCACACTCTCACACACACACTCACTCACTCACACACACACGCACATACATGTGCTCACACACACATACACACACTCACACGCACATACACATACTCTCACACACCCACCCACACACACACACACACACACACACACACACACACACACACACACACACACACACACACACACACACACACACACTCATTATCATAACATGAATCATGTCACGATTTCAGCCTTTGGTTTTGTTGAAATGTTTAACTGTAAATCACTGGTTTGAGTCGATCATCATCGTGTGTGTGTGTGTGTGTATATGCAGACGTTTCACACTCCCAGTCTGGGTGACGAGGAGTTTGAGATCCCGCCGATCTCGCTGGACCCGGACTCCCTCACACACACACTCACACACACAGACTCGGCGCTCGGCGTGTCGGCTCACTTCGGGGAGGGCTCCGGTGTTCCCGGGAACGCTGTGGTGGGAGGAAACGACCCGTCGTTCGCATCGACCTTCGTGAGCGCGCCGGCGCCGCTGGAGCACCTGAGCCTGATGGTGCGTCACACACACACACTCACACACACTACACTGAGCTGAACATGTGCTTAAAGGGATATTTCACCCGAAAACGAAAATTAGCCCATGATTTACTCTCAAGTCATCCTAGGTGTGTATGACACTCGTCTCTCAGACGAATACAATCAGAGTTATATTAAAAAATGTCCTGGCTCTTCCAAGCTTTATAATGGCAGTGAATGCTCTTTCTCAGCTCTTTCTGTTTTAAAGTCCATAAAGTCCAAAATTGCATTTATCATCATAAAGGTGCATCTGTCCATCATAAAAGTGCATCTATCCATCATAAAAGTGCATCTATCCATCATAAAAGTGCATCTGTCCATCATAAAAGTGCATCTATCCATCATAAAAGTGCATCTATCCATCATAAAAGTGCATCTATCCATCATAAAAGTGCATCTATCCATCATAAAAGTGCATCTATCCATGATAAAAGTGCATCTGTCCATCATAAAAGTGCATCTATCCATCATAAAAGTGCATCTATCCATCATAAAAGTGCATCTGTCCATCATAAAAGTGCATCTGTCCATCATAAAAGTGCGTCTGTCCATCATAAAAGTGCATCTGTCCATCATAAAAGTGCATCTATCCATCATAAAAGTGCATCTATCCATCATAAAAGTGCATCTATCCATCATAAAAGTGCATCTGTCCATCATAAAAGTGCATCTGTCCATCATAAAAGTGCATCTGTCCATCATAAAAGTGCATCTGTCCATGATAAAAGTGCATCTATCCATCATAAAAGTGCATCTGTCCATCATAAAAGTGCATCTGTCCATCATAAAAGTGCATCTGTCCATCATAAAAGTGCATTGTCCATCATAAAAGTGCATCTTTCCATCATAAAAGTGCATCTGTCCATCATAAAAGTGCATCTGTCCATCATAAAAGTGCATCTGTCCATCATAAAAGTGCATCTGTCCATCATAAAAGTGCATCTGTCCATCATAAAAGTGCATCTGTCCATCATAAAAGTGCATCTGTCCATCATAAAAGTGCATCTTTCCATCATAAAAGTGCATCTGTCCATCATAAAAGTGCATCTGTCCATCATAAAAGTGCCATTTCCAAATGTGGTTTGAGTGATCTGAACCATATATTTACATAATTAGATATACTATATTATATATATAATATAATTTAAATATATAATGGCAAACGTCCCATGCATTAATATTTTCCTAATATGAATTTTCCAGGAGAATTGATGTTTTATGTTTTTCCCGCCGCAGGATCTCGGCCATCCGATTGGCTCTCAGTTCAGTAGCTCTTCTCCGATGACCATCGACGTCCCTCTGAGTGACATGAACCACGGCCTGTTGGGCCACAACCAGCTGACCACCATCGACCAATCAGAGCTCAGCGCGCAGCTCGGCCTGAGTCTAGGGGGCGGAGCCATCCTGCCCCGCCCACAGTCCCCTGACCAGCCGCTGTCCGCCACCGACTCGCCGTCCGACTCGCTGCACGACGACGACATGGACGATTTCAGACGGGTAGGGTTTGCGTTTGCCACAATCTTTAATTGTTTTCATTTTTAATTGTCGGCATTGGTAGTTTTTCTATGTGGCCGATCGGTCTGAGATGGGACTTTTATTTTGACATTTAATTTTTAAATTTGTCCATTTTACAGATTCTTTTTTTTTTTTCAAGCTTAAATTATTTTGTTCATTTTTTTTAATTATCGGCATTGGGACTTTTATTCTGTCATTTAAAGTTTAAATAATTTATTTTGCAGATTTTTTTTGTATAGAGTTAATTTTTTTTTTTTTTTTTTTTTTTTTTTTTAAATAAAAAATCGACATTGGCCACCAATAAAATCAATATGGGTCGTCCGCTATTTCAGACAATCTTACAAACTATTTTTGGGAGTACAAAACGTTCTACTATTCTTACATTGCGAAGATTTCTATCCTTGCGAGTGTGTGTTGGACGTGTCAGAACTGATCTCTGTTTCCCGCTCGTCTCTCCCCGTGTGTCGCGGCTCTCCGGCTCAGAAGAGCGTTCTGGTGGATTCTCCGGTGTCTCTGTCCGTGTCTCCGGGCGTTATCGCTCTCTCTCCGTCTCTGCCGGACCATCCCGTCCCAGCATCCTCTGCTCCCGTACGCAAAGGAGTCGGCGGGAAGAAGGGCCGGAAGAAGAAAGACCCGAACGAGCCGCAGAAACCCGTGTCGGCGTACGCGCTGTTCTTCCGGGACACACAGGCCGCCATTAAAGGCCAGAATCCCAACGCCACGTTCGGAGAGGTGTCCAAGATCGTCGCCTCCATGTGGGATAGTTTGGGAGAAGAGCAGAAACAGGTACAAACATGGCATTAAGGGGTTAAATTCTTCTTAAGTTTTGTCTTTAGAACTAATGGTTGGCCGATATATCGGCCGATATTTGGCATTTTTAATTATCGACATTGGTAGTTTTTCTATGTCTAAAACCTTTTAAACTTTAAGTGTCAAAATAAAAGTCCCATTTTGACACTTAAAGTTTAAATGGTTTTATTTTACAGATTTATTTTTTAATCAAGTTCAAATTATTTTTATTTTTAATTATCGGCCTTGGTAGTTTTTCAATGTGGCCGATGTGTCTGAGATAGGACTTTTATTTTGACATTTAAGGTTAAAATTGTTTATTTTACATATTTGTATCAAGTTCAAATCATTTTTATTTTATTTTTAATTATCGGCCTTGGTAGTTTTTCAATGTGGCCGATGTGTCTGAGATAGGACTTTTATTTTGACATTTAAGGTGAAAATTGTTTATTTTACAGATTATTATAATTTTTTTAAGTTCAACAAGATGGACTAATGAGTGCATTTGAGTGTTCACACACACATGGATCAAAATCCCACTGTTTTCCCCTTCCCAGGTGTACAAGAGGAAGACGGAAGCGGCGAGGAAGGAGTACCTGAAGGCGCTGGCCGCTTATAAAGCCAGTCAGTTAACGCAGGTACAGCACTTCTGTTTATTATCGTCCGCCTCGGCCGATCCGATCTGAAGAACCACTGCGTTTACTCCTGATGGATCATGTGGCTTCAGTTGTTTCATTCCATTTCTGTAATTGCAAATCAATGCATTTTGAGACCGACGAGGAAAAATAAAGCTGAATCTGGAGTAGAGCTGCACGATTAATCGTTAAAAGATCGCGATCTCGATTCAAACGCGCGTGATCTCGTTCCTAAACGACGACGATCCTCCTGTGTCTATTATACACACTGATGTCTACGGTAGTGAGCAACATAGAGTAGATCGGCTTGTGAAAGTAGCGATTGTGTCGATTACAGCGTTACGCCAGTAGGCGGCGACAAGTGACTGTTAAACATGCGTTTGAATCATTCACTCAGGAGATTCGTTCAGAAACGCTGATGCGGCGCCTCAACTCGCCTCCTTATTCTACGCCCTAAAGTAATGTACTCGTAGATGCTCGTGAGTGTGTAGCAGAAGACACACAAGCTGTGGGACTTACCGTCACGTCACACAACTGCGTCTTTAACGGTTGCTCTCTGTCGCTTAGTTACACGCACCTGTCAATCATGCCAAAGATAAAATCCCCAACATTTCATTTAATTACGTTCTTTTGATATGAAACAAAGTCTCAACTTTGGTCATTTTTTTTAAGAAATGTAAACAATAAATACCGTTTTGTGTCTCTTTAATGTGTCTGACAGATCGACTCAGTTAAAGCCGCTCGTGAACGATCATCTCTTCCTTCTAGTTCATTCATAGCATCAAATAAACACGAATGAACATCAGAAGGAATGTTGTTTTAACCGCGGAAAGACGTCAGTACACGCCGCTTCTCAAGTTCAACTCCACCGATGTTAATCTACTAACTCTCCGGACTGCTTTGCCGGACAAAAATGGCGGATTCGGCGGATGGCGGATTATGATTGGTCAGATCACCTGTCAATCAAACGCCCTGCGAAGGGTCACTTGCAGTAGTATGTCGATCTGCAGTCGCGGGTCTTTCATGCGGAGTCAGAAAAATCTGTTAAATAAAGCATTATAGGAAACACTGTGACTTGACAAGTTGTTAAATGTCATAATTTAGTAAAATTACATCTGTGTTTTGATATGAAAACAAGTCAAGTGTTTAGGAGTGAGTCATTGAATCATTCACTCAACCCGATTTGTTTTTAAATATTCATTCTAATTACCCGTAGTTAAACGTTTAATTAAACGAAATAACCTGCAGCAGGTCATATTTAGTCAGAACCTCGAGTAGTTTACATGTTACTTTGTTTAGTTGTCTGTGGGAGAATCACTATTTGAAACGCGCACAATAAAATCGTAATTTCTCAGTTAATCCGGAATCGTGCAGCTGTAATCTGGAGTATCTGTAGCGTTATAGAAAACCATGTGACTTGACTAATTGTTAAATGGCATCAGTTAGTAACATGACATCTGTGTTTTGTTTTCCCGCAGCAGCCGACTATAGAAGTGTTGGACGCCCCCCCGTCTCCTCCTCCTGCTCCACCCGTTGCTCCGCCTCCCGCCCCCACGCCTGCCGCGCCCGCGCCGCGCTCCTCCCGCATCCCCGTCCACGCGCCCGACAACAACACCATCACCAACATCTGCACGTCCAACATCATCTTAGACCTGCCGCAGGTGACGACACGCTCGCGCACGGGCGCGCACAAGCCCCCGCCTCCGGCCCCGCCCACTCACAAGCCCCCGGCCCCGCCCACCGTCAGCAAGATCATCATCTCCAGGCAGCAGCTTCAGTCGCCCCGTCAGCCGCCGCCCCTCCAGCAGATGCAGAACACGCCTCCCCCCCCGCGGCTGCAGCAGATGGTGCACTCCCAGGCTCCGCCCCCTCTGCTAGCGAAACCGCGCGGAGCCGCCGCCCTCGCGGGACAGGTGGTTGCCACGGCGCCGCCGCCGCCTCTGCAGATCAAGATCGTCCCGCAGAGCGACGCCAGTGCGCCGATAATCGTGACCCCGCTCGCATCATCGGCCGCCGCCGCGCTGGAGGTGCCGCCACCCGCCGCCATCGTCGCCACCCTGTCGCCGTCGGCAACGGAGGACGCGCCGGAGGAAGCGGTGAGTCCGAACATTCTATTCTGAACGGAAATTCTATTTATTGTTTTTCGGTTGTTTCGTAGGCGAAGGAACTGCAGGGGGTTCGTGAGTCGATGCAAACTCATAATTAAGAATAAAAACGCATACAAATGCATTAAATCATAAAACGTCAAATTAAAAAAAAATGTTAAACAAATTCATTTTCAGAAATTGTTCTGTTTTTATTTTTAAGTTATGTTAGTACGATTTTGTGGTTTAGAAAATTTAGGTTTTATTTTCATTATTTTATTTTCATCATTTTTATTTTACATTTCTATAGATTTTTATTTTATTTTTTATTATTTATAGATTTATAAATTATTCATTTTATTTTGATTATTATATAAATTTGGAATATGTTTTCAAATAAAAACAATACAAAAATAAAACGCTTTCTAAAAATGCACTAAATCATAATGTTTTTTTTTTTGGAAATACATTTGTACTTTTTTGTGGTTTAGAAAATGTTTGTTTTATTTTACATTTTTATGGCTTAATTGATGTTTAGAAAGTGTTTTATTGTTATTTGTTTTTATTCTGCTAATTGTTTAGATGGAGGTGGAGCTCAGTGTTTCTCCGGCTCCGGCCGACGCTCCCAGTGTGTGTGTGTGTGTCCGCGCCGGCTGCAACAACCCGCCTATAGAGAGCAAAGACTGGGACCGAGAGTATTGCAGCAACGAGTGTGTGGCCACCCACTGCAGGTACACACACACACACAAACACACACTCTCACACACACACACACACTCTCTCACACACACACACACAAACACACACACACTCTCTCACACACTCTCACTCTTCACTCACACACTCTCACTCTTCACTCACACACACTCACTCTTCACTCACATACACACACACACACACACACACACTCTCACTCACACACTCTCTCACTCACACACACACACACACACACACACACTCTCACTCTTCACTCACATACACACACACACACTCTTCACACACACTCACTCACTCACTCAATCACTCTCTCACACACACACACACCGCTCTTCTCAAACTTTTAAAAACATTAAGTCTGAGCAATATATAAAATATTTAAAATTGTTTAGTGCAAATACAAAATTAAATTCATCATAAATATTGGGATTATTTGATGCACGTTTATTATTCAGTCAGTCGCTTCATTTCAAACAAAAGGCAGAAAAACGTCCTCATTTATTATTGATTCAGCTTCATATGAAGACTCTTTCAGGATCAGATCCAGGAAACGCATCACATTATGGAAGTGATGATGTAGTGATGATGTCGTCTCTCCTGCAGGGACGTGTTCATGGCCTGGTGTGCGATCCGAGGACAGAACTCCACCACCGTCACATAGATGGACAGATCAGTGCAGATCCACAGACTCAATCATGGCTTTCTCAAACTAACTACTTTATGAGTATTTAAAACGATTTAGTTAAGGTAAGTGTGTATCTGAAGGTGTTTGTGAAACACAGGCCAGAAACGGTTCATGAGCTGCGCTCGTGTGTGTGTGTCTGCGTACAGGATGTTCTGAATCACGAAAGACTGGTTTAAAACCCTGAGGTGAATTTCCCGCTCGACTGTATTTTAAACGAGGCTTTGATCTTCCGGCTCTTCCAAACATTGACCACTGTCAATGCCCAGAATTATGTGGTTACTATGGTTACCAGCAGCAGTTTATACCCAGAATTCCGTGGTTGCTATGGTTACAGCTACAGTTTATGATCATAATTCCGTGGTTGCGATGGTTACCAGCTACTGTCTATGCCCAGAATTCTGTGGTTGCTATGGTTACCTGCTACAGTTTATGTCCAGAATTCTGTGGTTGCTATGGTTACCAGCTACTGTCTATGGCCAGAATTCTGTGGTTGCTATGGTTACCAGCTACAGTTTATGTTCAGAATTCTGTGGTTGCTATGGTTACCAGCTACCGCCTATGCCCAGAATTCTGTGGTTGCTATGGTTACCAGCTACTGTCTATGCCCAGAATTCCATGGTTGCTATGGTTACCAGCTACAGTTTATGTTCATAATTATGTGGTTGCTATGGTTACCAGCTACTGTCTATGCCCAGAATTCCATGGTTGCTATGGTTACCAGCTACAGTTTATGCCCATAATTCTGTGGTTGCTATGGTTACTGCTACAGTGGAGATTCCGCACAGCGTTCTAAAAAGCGGTTTGAGATTTCATATTTATTGTGATTTTGTTATGTTGTATATTTGCGTTGATGCATTTGGCAGACGCTTTTATCCATTGCATTTGATTAGTTCAGACATTCCCTGGGAATCCCTCCCGTGAACTGGAGAAAAAGGGAAAAGGTTGGTTTACTGTAGTACTTTTTTGCTTTATTATCTTTTTACATCATCAGGAGTAAAACTTACTGTGATGCTGTGGGACAAAAAACAGTGCATTTTATATTAGGGAAATGTACAGGAAATGACATCATACTTTTAACTGCTCATGGAAAAATGTCGATTTTTCTTCACTGCTTTACTTTTTGGACTGTTGTATCATCATCATCATCATCATCTCAGTTCTGTTGAGTTTATGAGATCAATCAAATGGAAAAAATGAAATAAAAGACATGAAATAAAACAGTGACGTGTTTGTTTTGCTTCTCTGTCTATAATCCTGGTGATTCTTCAGTTGAAAACTACAGAGGAATGCTTTGAAATTACTCATTATAATAGTTAAACAGGAAGTTGTCTCAATAATGATCAGAATCTTTGACTTCATAAACCGTTTTATCCAGCAGTGGTTTTCTCTGGTTTAAAACGTAATTATTAAAATTGTTAAACTAGATTTTGTTTGGTGTAAATTCTGTCCTTAAAGCTGAAAATTAGTATCATATTTATGTAACTGGTTGTTGTTGTTGTTAAATTTTTCATATAAAAACCACAGACCTTCTCTGGTTATTGAGACCTATGGTTATGGTTATGGTTATGATGGAGAATTGACATGTGAGCAAAATAACAGTTTATACATCTGACTAATTTATTTTAGGTGTCATTACCATATAACGGTTTAGTATGAGATTATACATAAAATAAGTTTCATAAACAAACTCTGAAATCACATTTACACCGAGGTATCAGTAACTTGCAAATTATTAAAACATATATACATATATATATATATATTAATAATATAATTAGTATGATTTAATTTATAAAATAATTTAACTAATTAAAATACTAAAAAAGCCTAAAAGATGTAAACTGAAATCATATTTATTTTCCCTCAGCTATTGATTGTATTGAAGAATATACAATTCTTGAAACTTGTGTAATCGCAAAATTGAGGTTAATTTAGCTATATATATTTATACTATATATGTATTATATTATGATCGGTTAATATACGCATATATGACAAAAAGTTCTTTAAAAAACATTTTATTAATCTGAAAATGCGCTGTATGCAACTTGGTCTGAGGAAAACCAAACCCACGTGCTCTGATGGAATTCGCGCGCTTTTGAATGACAGTAGATGGCGGGAAAAAAAGCCGTGCGCGCGGACTGCTAGAACGCGGTGATGTGAGGGTGAAGGCGGAGCAAAGCATGTGACCTCAACGGCGGGATTTCATTGGTCGCTAACCTGATGACGTGACCGTCAGGGCGGGAGTTTCTGTGAGGGAGGAAAACAAAAGCCATAATAACTACCCTGGAGTTTTTTTTATAAATCGAATATATTGCTAATAAATGAACACAGTTGTTCAGTTTTTAATCCGTTTTAAACATATCATTCGCGCATTTTTAGTTCAAAATAATAATAATAAACAAATCACCTATAAATACACAAAATGGCAGCTCAAATAAATAAATAAATATATACATTGCACAAAGAAATTAATACAACACATTCAAACGAATGTAATAGGTAATTAAAAATAAATACCATGTTTTAAAAATATATGTGTACTAAATATTAAATAGATGCATGCCGGGCAGAAAGAGGAGGAGCTAAGGATCAGACACACATGCGTGTTTTAACATGATATATTCACATCATCATCATCACCACCACAGACCGAACGAGCACTGACAATTATACATTTTAAAGCAGAATAACCGTCTTTTTAATAGACACCTTTGAAATTATTGAAAAAATATTTTTTCATATTTTCGTTCATTTCGCGTTAGTTGTTGTTCTATCGTCCGGTAGAGAGTAGAAATAGTGAAAACCACACGAGAGAGAGTGTGTATAAGTGTGTGTTTGTTCTCTCAGTGTGTGAGTGTGTGTGTGTTGATGTGATATTATGGCGGTGAATCTGGATAAAGACGCGTTTTATCGCCGCATCAAGCGACTCTACGGCAACTGGAAGGTACAGAGAACTCAACACCTGTCATAAACATCACTAACTCATCATATCGAGGATATTCGAGCATAATTATTCATGTATGATGTGTTTAAACGCATATGTGATGCTGAAAATCCTTACACACACACACACATACACGTTCTCAGGCCTCATTTCCATATAACTGTTACACAAACACACTCAATCGACTCCGTTTGTATCGGACAGTCTGTAGTGTGGTTTATTTATTCATTTCTTTGCGATATCGCTGGAGTTTGTGGTTATTTCATAGCGTTTATGTGTGATTAGCGCAGCGGCTAACGTGTTAGCCTGTTAGCATACAATGTTTTCACTCCATTTCCGCTCGGCTTTTATTCACGTTTGTGAAGTAAATCTAAAACAAATCAGACTTTGTGTTTCAGTAAATGTTTATCACATAAAAGTTTAATTGGGATGCCCTACATTTGTCTGATGTAGCATGTAGCTGTGGGCTAGCTTATATTGAGACATGCTGCAGGTGGGAAAGACATGATTATTATTAGTTATTTTTTGTTTTTGTTTACATCAAACAATAAAAGGCCAAATCGTGTGAGCAATCTAAATATTTTTTCTTTACTTCTAGCACTGTTCAGTGTTTGGGAAAGGTTTATCCTAACACTTCTGAATATAGAAGTTTTGCAGATAGTTATTTTGTAATTATTTATTGGATGGAAAATTTGGTAAAACTTTATTTTACAGTGTCATTGTTACATATCTTGTGTCAAAAGTTGTAAAGATAACCGTACATAGTACTAAAAACTTGCTTTAGAAGAGTTTTGAATGGCGAGGGGTGATATAATTGGTTTCTCATAACTCTTTAGGATATAATTCAGCTTCATAACGCTGTTTCTCATAACTCTTTATGATATAACGCTGTTTCTCCATCACAGAAAGGCGAAGATGAGTTCGGGAAGGTGGACGCCATCGTCGTGTCTGTTGGAGTCGATGAGGAGATCGTCTACGCCAAATCCACAGCGCTTCAGGTGCAATAAAACACCCTAATAAAATCATCATTACATGATCACCGCTCAATAATCATAATCAATAATCGTCATGTTGTGGTTTCTCTCTGGCAGACGTGGCTGTTTGGCTACGAGCTCACCGACACTATAATGGTGTTTTGCGAGACTAAGATCACGTTTCTGGCCAGTAAGAAGAAAGTGGAGTTCCTGAAGCAGGTCGCCGTAACCAAGGGCAACGAGAACGCCAACGGGATTCCTCCAATCACGCTGCTCGTCCGGGAAAAGGTATCGCACGCGATTGGACGAAAAACTGACGTCGCGACATTTCGTCTTTCCAGCGATATATAAAACAAAGATGACTTTAATAGCTGTATTTGGACAGAATAAATCATTCTAGAGTTATGTATTTTTTTAACTTGCATAATAATATATTATATATACTATACATTAAAAAAAAGTTACTTTTTGCGCTGATTTTTTTAAATAGCAAAACTTTTTAACATGATTAAAACATGATTATTTGGAGTGTGGTTTCCAAGAAAATATTATATTTCAGTTTTTCTACACTTAATTCAATGTTCCTCGCTGTTTTTTTTTTTTTTTTGCGTGAAATGTATTCGCAATTCCATTGTGATTTTGTTTCAAAGTAAATCCTTCTTTTTTTTGTAGTGTTAAAAAATATTTTCACTTGAGTTTTCATATGCCACATAAAATGTGAAAGAATATAAAATATTGTAATTATATTGTGATTATTATTAGAAAGAAAAATTGTAATAGCACTATTTTTTTATTTCACTGTAAAATGATGATAATTAAATGATAATAAAAATATGCGCTGCTGATTTCAGAGTGAAGCTCGGCACTGTGTTCGTTTACACGCATGAAAACACTCTGAAAAACGCTAGTGCTTATATTAAATTAAATCAGTCTGTGTTTTGACAATCACATTAGCCATATATGTGTGTGTGTGTGTGTATTATATATCAATATTTCGACATGTCATGCAGCCACATTTGCAAATATCATCCTTTACAAACTAGTGTTTATCTGATGGACACATCATCGATCTGCAACGTGTTTAACGTGTCTGAATCTGATTGTGTGACAGAGCGAGAGCAACAAGGTGAACTTTGAGAAGATGATCGAAGCGATTCGTGGGAGTAAAGAGGGCAAGACGGTCGGCGTGTTCATCAAGGACAAGTTCCCCGGAGAATACATGAAGAACTGGAGCGACATGATCACGGCCGAGGGCTTGGAGAAGGTCAGATCCGGTTACGCCGCCTTTATCTACAACACTGCATTTTTAAATCACACACAAAACAATATTTTAATCAGTAGTGTTATAATATTATTTAAAAACTGTTATTTTTATATTTTCAGTTTTAATTTTAGTTCAAGTTTTGTTCTTTTGTTACCATATCATGCCGTACTAAACATTGAGATTGAGATCGTCATGCTGTTGTTGTGATGAAATAACTTAAGGATGCTCGATATATCGGCCACCATATCGGTATTAAGATATGTTCATTTTTAATATTATCGTTTTCGGCCCGATATATTAAAGCGATAAATAATGTATTATTTCCTTCAGCTGAGACTCTTCAGATGCGCACTGTTCAACATGATAAATTAAATTGTGTGAAATATGATTGAAATCACTTCAAAAAAGTAAAAAATACAGTAAAGTAGTGCAAGTCTGTCATATCAGCTACATGAAATTATCATGAGAACGTTATAATTGTGTGTTTAGGACATGGATTTGAATGGTATATAAACATATGGACTTAGATTTATCAGCCAATATATCAGTTATCGGCTTTCAAATATAAATAATTATCGGTTATCGGCATCCAAATATAAAGAATTATCGGTTATCGGCATCCAAATATAAAGAATTATTGGTTATCGGCATCCAAATATAAAGAATTATCGGTTATCGGCTTTCAAATATAAAGAATTATCGGTTATCAGCTTTCATATATAAATAATTATCGGTTATCGGCATCCAAACATAAAGAATTATCGGTTATCGGCATCCAAATATAAAGAATTATCGGTTATCGGCTTTCAAATATAAAGAATTATCGGTTATCAGCTTTCATATATAAATAATTATCGGTTATCGGCTTTCAAATATAAAGAATTATCGGTTATCAGCTTTCATATATAAATAATTATCGGTTATCGGCATCCAAACATAAAGAATTATCGGTTATCGGCATCCAAATATAAAGAATTATCGGTTATCGGCTTTCAAATATAAAGAATTATCGGTTATCAGCTTTCATATATAAATAATTATCGGTTATCGGCTTTCAAATATAAAGAATTATCGGTTATCAGCTTTCATATATAAATAATTATCGGTTATCAGCTTTCATATATAAAGAATTATCGGTTATCAGCTTTCATATATAAATAATTATCGGTTATCAGCTTTCATATATAAAGAATTATCGGTTATCGGCTTTCATATATAAAGAATTATCGGTTATCAGCTTTCATATATAAATAATTATCGGTTATCGGCTTTCAAATATAAAGAATTATCGGTTATCAGCTTTCATATATAAATAATTATCGGTTATCGGCTTTCAAATATAATGAATTATCGGTTATCGGCTTTCAAATAAAAATAATTATCGGTTATAGGCTTTCATATATAAATAATTATCGGTTATAGGCTTTCATTTATAAATAATTATCGGTTATCGGCTTTCAAATATAAAGAATTATCGGCTTTCAAATAAAAATAATTATTGGTTATTGGCTTTCAAATAAAAATAATTATCGGTTATCGGCTTTCAAATATAAAGAATTATCGGTTATCAACTTTCAAATAAAAATAATTATCGGTTATCGGCTTTCATATATAAATAATTATCGGTTATAGGCTTTCATATATAAATAATTATCGGTTATCGGCTTTCAAATATAACAAATTATCGGCTTTCAAATAAAAATAATTATTGGTTATTGGCTTTCAAATATAAAGAATTATCGGTTATCGGCTTTCATATCTAAATAATTATCGGTTTTCAAATATAAATAATTATCAGTTATCGGCTTTCAAATATAAAGAATTATCAGTTATCGGCTTTCGAATATATAGAATTATCGGTTATTGGTATTGGCCTAAATGTTCCTATCTGTTTACCCCTGAACTGAAATGTCGCGACGGCTCTTGCGTTGGCGTGTCAGGTGGACATCAGCACAGTGGTGGCGTATACGATGGCGGTGAAGGAGGACGGAGAGCTGGTGCTCATGAAGAAAGCGGCCGCCATCACCAGCGACGTCTTCACCAAGTTCTTCAAGGAGAGAGTCATGGAGATCGTGGACGCCGACGAGGTTTGTTCACGCAACAACACGCGCTTTATCCTGCGTAACGCAGATTAGGGGTGGGCGCTATACCGGTATGAACGTGAATACCGGTATTATGTTGTGCCATGATATGGATTTTGCGATACCGAGGATACCGTATTCATAAATTCAAATTTTGCAGTTATATTGTTTTGTTCAATTTGGTAGCCTACTCTTTACAACTGTTAACACTAATGACGATACAGAATCGAATAAGCTGTTTAAGGAAGTGGCTGATTTGGCGCTTCATATGCGTGAAGTTGCTGAGGCGATTAACCGCTGTCCTGTGACGCCTTCAATGAAGGACCGTAACGTAGAACACATCGCTAGTGCTAAGCGGCTGTTCATAAAGGATGCATCTTTTGCGGTGGAATGGGAAATAACAAGGTAATGAGACGCAAGTTTGACTTTTAACTGGAGCGCAGCATTTTTAGAATGCCGTTTCATTTGCGAGACGCGGGTGCAACACCAAAACAAGTTCGTCAAGCACAAACAAACGTTAAAGTTCCAGGCTACTGTATGTTTGAGATGTCATGTTTTCATGAAGGTTGAAAGCTGCTATTATTATCTTTGTTTTTACAAAACATTTACTGCTAATAATATTATCCACGTGGAGACATTTCCCCGCAATGTAACGTTAGGCTATGAATAACAGGACACGACACACACATAAGCGCGCGCATACACACGACACACACATAAGCGCGCGCATACACACACACTGGTCCACTATCTTTGTTGGGACTCTCCATAGACGTAATGGGTTTTATACTGTACAAACTGTAGGCCTTTATTCTGTCTCCTTACACTAATGAATTAGTTTGTATGAAAATTCATTGTTTTTTTCTTGTCTACTTTTAAGTTCTATTTATTTGGTGCTTTGTTCAATCTCAAACCATTATTTTATGTTTATTATTAAGATGTCTGCACAAGAGTTAACTGTAATCTGTGCAAACATTAAACTTAAATTAAACGTCTCGCTTTGGTCTACACTGGAAGTGTTCTGCTCGCTCTGCTAAAGCTAAACTATTATTACTAAAGCTGAAACTAAATAAAATAAAAACTATATAGAAATGTGTTAGCAAAATAAAACTAAATAAAAACTAACAAAACCATTAATGAAACTAGCTAAAACTAAACTGAAATTTAAAGCAAAATTGAAAACGATATTAAAATAAAAACTAATTTAAAAAAGCAAAACTATAACAACAGATATTCCCGGCGGAGACAGAGCACACCCGAAGACGGCTCTCACTCAGAAATCAATAAAGTCTTCATTCGCTGCCGGTTCTCATTGACAAGACGAGCAAAAAGTGGAAAGACATAACAAGTGCATTCAGGCCTACCTCATGTTGCACGTTTGCACTTTTTGAGAAAAAAAATGGCACAATAAAAAAACAAAAAACATTTCAGGTCTATGTCCAATGAAATGCCTCACCTTTTTCTAGTTATCTACTGTTAAAATACATTTTTTGCCTGTAATTTAACTAAGGTGTACTAAAATGTGATTCCAATTTTTTTTTCTCATATCGCGATATAATATCGATATCGTCCGGACAGTGAAAAATATCGTGATATGAATTTTTGCTCATATCGCCCACCCCTAACGCAGATGTCCTGAGTACTGTACGCTTGCAGTTCCTCTGGTTTGCTGAATGTGATAGATGAACTTGAGATGAACATGATTATTTCATATTTTGTTCTGTATGGATATACATTATTAATTTTATATGTGCAGGTCTTGAATTTGATTTTAAATATTCTACCAGATACACTATGTACAGTCAAACCAAAAATTATTCAGACACCAGATATCATTTTTGATATTTTTTCCCTAGTGTGTGCAGGACACTATAGTTCATTTATGTAAGTGAGGAGAGCAAAATAAAGTAAACTGACATATTATACCCATGACCAGCTTTAAAGGTCGACTACTGTATATCAATGGTTATGTATTGTACTGATGCGTATGCTAACGGTTAGCTGTGTGTGTGTGTGTGTCCATCAGAAGGTGAAGCACAGTCGTCTGGCCGAGTCGGTGGAGAAGGCCATCGAGGAGAAGAAGTTTCTGGGCGGCGTCGACCCGTCCACCGTGGAGATGTGTTACCCTCCCATAATCCAAAGCGGCGGAAACTACAGCCTCAAATTCAGCGTCGTCAGGTGAGACGTTCTAGTCGTTTTCTTCTGAAGCTACGCTAGCTTAGATGCTAAATCATAGGCGTAGCCATGGGTGTGCCAGGGTCGATATTGTTCAAATATCATTAATATGCCCGATTAATTGCAATTTCCATGTAATCGCACGTAAACCGGTTTGGCTTATCGCGATTATGAAATGGCAATGCTGTGATGATTAGTCATGTGCAGCGTGTCAGTGAAGCGCGGCTCACTCTGAAGCACTGCGAGTTTGAGACACTTATAACGTGCGTCTGAAAAAGCATATATGCATATTGCTCTATACTCACTTCATCGGGACAGCTGAGCTCCTGTGAGATGATGCGCTTCTCACACAGAATACGGCAGTCGAGTGTTTATTAGTCGTGTTTCATCAGAGCGTTTCAGTCCTCTGTTTATTCAGATACAGCGATAGAGGTTTCCTGGAGTGATGTGTGTTATCGTACTTCTGCGGCGGGGCGTGTGTGTGTGTTAGACTCGAGACTGGTGTTCAGAGGGATATTTGGTGTGTGTGTGTGAGAGAGAGAGACTGGTGTTCAGAGGAATATTCACTGTGTGTGTGTGTGACACTGGTGTTCAGAGGGATATTTGGTGTGTGTGTGACGCCCTCTAGCGTTCAGAGGGATATTTGGTGTGTGTGTGTGAGACGCCCTCTCAGAGGGATATTTGGTGTGTGTGTGTGAGAGACACTGGTGTCCAGAGGGATATTTGGTGTGTGTGTGTGTGTGTGTGACGCCCTCTAGTGTCCAGAGGGATATTTGGTGTATGTGTGTGAGACACTGGTGTTCAGAGGGATATTTGGTGTGTGTGTGTGTGTGACGCCCTCTAGTGTTCAGAGGGATATTTGGTGTGTGTGTGTGTGTGTGATGCCCTCTAGTGTTCAGAGGGATATTTGGTGTGTGTGTGAGAGACACTGGTGTTCAGAGGGATATTTGGTGTGTGTGTGTGTGACGCCCTCTAGTGTTCAGAGGGATATTTGGTGTGTGTGTGTGAGACACTGGTGTTCAGAGGGATATTTGGTGTGTGTGTGTGTGTGTGATGCCCTCTAGTGTTCAGAGGGATATTTGGTGTGTGTGTGTGTGTGACGCCCTCTAGTGTTCAGAGAGATATTTGGTGTGTGTGTGTGTGTGTGAGACGCCCTCTCAGAGGGATATTTGGTGTGTGTGTGTGTGTGATGCCCTCTAGTGTTCAGAGGGATATTTGGTGTGTGTGTGTGAGACACTGGTGTTCAGAGAGATATTTGGTGTGTGTGTGTGTGAGATGCCCTCTAGTGTTCAGAGAGATATTTGGTGTGTGTGTGTGTGTGACGCCCTCTAGTGTTCAGAGGGATATTTGGTGTGTGTGTGTGAGACACTGGTGTTCAGAGAGATATTTGGTGTGTGTGTGTGTGTGACGCCCTCTAGTGTTCAGAGGGATATTTGGTGTGTGTGTGACGCCCTCTAGTGTTCAGAGGGATATTTGGTGTGTGTGTGTGTGTGACGCCCTCTAGTGTTCAGAGAGATATTTGGTGTGTGTGTGTGAGACTGGTGTTCAGAGGGATATTTGGTGTGTGTGTGTGTGTGACGCCCTCTAGTGTTCAGAGAGATATTTGGTGTGTGTGTGTGTGTGACGCCCTCTAGTGTTCAGAGGGATATTTGGTGTGTGTGTGTGTGTGTGACGCCCTCTAGTGTTCAGAGAGATATTTGGTGTGTGTGTGTGTGTGACGCCCTCTAGTGTTCAGAGGGATATTTGGTGTGTGTGACGCCCTCTAGTGTTCAGAGGGATATTTGGTGTGTGTGTGTGAGACACTGGTGTTCAGAGAGATATTTGGTGTGTGTGTGTGTGTGACGCCCTCTAGTGTTCAGAGGGATATTTGGTGTGTGTGACGCCCTCTAGTGTTCAGAGGGATATTTGGTGTGTGTGTGTGTGTGACGCCCTCTAGTGTTCAGAGAGATATTTGGTGTGTGTGTGTGTGTGTGACGCCCTCTAGTGTTCAGAGGGATATTTGGTGTGTGTGTGACGCCCTCTAGTGTTCAGAGGGATATTTGGTGTGTGTGTGACGCCCTCTAGTGTTCAGAGGGATATTTGGTGTGTGTGTGACGCCCTCTAGTGTTCAGAGGGATATTTGGTGTAGTGTGTGTGTGTGTGACGCCCTCTAGTGTTCAGAGGGATATTTGGTGTGTGTGTGAGACACTGGTGTTCAGAGGGATATTTGGTGTGTGTGTGTGTGTGACGCCCTCTAGTGTTCAGAGGGATATTTGGTGTGTGTGTGACGCCCTCTAGTGTTCAGAGGGATATTTGGTGTGTGTGTGTGTGACGCCCTCTAGTGTTCAGAGGGATATTTGGTGTGTGTGTGACGCCCTCTAGTGTTCAGAGGGATATTTGGTGTGTGTGTGTGAGACGCCCTCTAGTGTTCAGAGAGATATTTGGTGTGTGTGTGTGTGTGTGTGTGTGTGTGTGTGAGACACTGGTGTTCAGAGGGATATTTGGTGTGTGTGTGTGTGTGACGCCCTCTAGTGTTCAGAGGGATATTTGGTGTGTGTGTGTGAGACACTGGTGTTCAGAGGGATATTTGGTGTGTGTGTGTGTGATGCCCTCTAGTGTTCAGAGGGATATTTGGTGTGTGTGTGTGTGATGCCCTCTAGTGTTCAGAGGGATATTTGGTGTGTGTGTGTGTGTGACACTGGTGTTCAGAGGGATATTTGGTGTGTGTGTGACGCCCTCTAGCGTTCAGAGGGATATTTGGTGTGTGTGTGTGAGACGCCCTCTCAGAGGGATATTTGGTGTGTGTGTGTGAGAGACACTGGTGTCCAGAGGGATATTTGGTGTGTGTGTGTGTGTGTGTGACGCCCTCTAGTGTCCAGAGGGATATTTGGTGTATGTGTGTGAGACACTGGTGTTCAGAGGGATATTTGGTGTGTGTGTGTGTGTGACGCCCTCTAGTGTTCAGAGGGATATTTGGTGTGTGTGTGTGTGTGTGATGCCCTCTAGTGTTCAGAGGGATATTTGGTGTGTGTGTGAGAGACACTGGTGTTCAGAGGGATATTTGGTGTGTGTGTGTGTGACGCCCTCTAGTGTTCAGAGGGATATTTGGTGTGTGTGTGTGAGACACTGGTGTTCAGAGGGATATTTGGTGTGTGTGTGTGTGTGTGATGCCCTCTAGTGTTCAGAGGGATATTTGGTGTGTGTGTGTGTGTGACGCCCTCTAGTGTTCAGAGAGATATTTGGTGTGTGTGTGTGTGTGTGAGACGCCCTCTCAGAGGGATATTTGGTGTGTGTGTGTGTGTGATGCCCTCTAGTGTTCAGAGGGATATTTGGTGTGTGTGTGTGAGACACTGGTGTTCAGAGAGATATTTGGTGTGTGTGTGTGTGAGATGCCCTCTAGTGTTCAGAGAGATATTTGGTGTGTGTGTGTGTGTGACGCCCTCTAGTGTTCAGAGGGATATTTGGTGTGTGTGTGTGAGACACTGGTGTTCAGAGAGATATTTGGTGTGTGTGTGTGTGTGACGCCCTCTAGTGTTCAGAGGGATATTTGGTGTGTGTGTGACGCCCTCTAGTGTTCAGAGGGATATTTGGTGTGTGTGTGTGTGTGACGCCCTCTAGTGTTCAGAGAGATATTTGGTGTGTGTGTGTGAGACTGGTGTTCAGAGGGATATTTGGTGTGTGTGTGTGTGTGACGCCCTCTAGTGTTCAGAGAGATATTTGGTGTGTGTGTGTGTGTGACGCCCTCTAGTGTTCAGAGGGATATTTGGTGTGTGTGTGTGTGTGTGACGCCCTCTAGTGTTCAGAGAGATATTTGGTGTGTGTGTGTGTGTGACGCCCTCTAGTGTTCAGAGGGATATTTGGTGTGTGTGACGCCCTCTAGTGTTCAGAGGGATATTTGGTGTGTGTGTGTGAGACACTGGTGTTCAGAGAGATATTTGGTGTGTGTGTGTGTGTGACGCCCTCTAGTGTTCAGAGGGATATTTGGTGTGTGTGACGCCCTCTAGTGTTCAGAGGGATATTTGGTGTGTGTGTGTGTGTGACGCCCTCTAGTGTTCAGAGAGATATTTGGTGTGTGTGTGTGTGTGTGACGCCCTCTAGTGTTCAGAGGGATATTTGGTGTGTGTGTGACGCCCTCTAGTGTTCAGAGGGATATTTGGTGTGTGTGTGACGCCCTCTAGTGTTCAGAGGGATATTTGGTGTGTGTGTGACGCCCTCTAGTGTTCAGAGGGATATTTGGTGTAGTGTGTGTGTGTGTGACGCCCTCTAGTGTTCAGAGGGATATTTGGTGTGTGTGTGAGACACTGGTGTTCAGAGGGATATTTGGTGTGTGTGTGTGTGTGACGCCCTCTAGTGTTCAGAGGGATATTTGGTGTGTGTGTGACGCCCTCTAGTGTTCAGAGGGATATTTGGTGTGTGTGTGTGTGACGCCCTCTAGTGTTCAGAGGGATATTTGGTGTGTGTGTGACGCCCTCTAGTGTTCAGAGGGATATTTGGTGTGTGTGTGTGAGACGCCCTCTAGTGTTCAGAGAGATATTTGGTGTGTGTGTGTGTGTGTGTGTGTGTGTGTGTGAGACACTGGTGTTCAGAGGGATATTTGGTGTGTGTGTGTGTGTGACGCCCTCTAGTGTTCAGAGGGATATTTGGTGTGTGTGTGTGAGACACTGGTGTTCAGAGGGATATTTGGTGTGTGTGTGTGTGATGCCCTCTAGTGTTCAGAGGGATATTTGGTGTGTGTGTGTGTGAGACACTGGTGTTCAGAGGGATATTTGGTGTGTGTGTGTGTGATGCCCTCTAGTGTTCAGAGGGATATTTGGTGTGTGTGTGTGAGACGCCCTCTAGTGTTCAGAGGGATATTTGGTGTGTGTGTGTGTGTGTGTGTGTGTGTGTGTGAGACACTGGTGTTCAGAGGGATATTTGGTGTGTGTGTGTGTGTGACGCCCTCTAGTGTTCAGAGGGATATTTGGTGTGTGTGTGTGAGACACTGGTGTTCAGAGGGATATTTGGTGTGTGTGTGTGTGATGCCCTCTAGTGTTCAGAGGGATATTTGGTGTGTGTGTGTGTGAGACACTGGTGTTCAGAGGGATATTTGGTGTGTGTGTGTGTGATGCCCTCTAGTGTTCAGAGGGATATTTGGTGTGTGTGTGTGAGACGCCCTCTAGTGTTCAGAGGGATATTTGGTGTGTGTGTGTGTGTGTGTGTGTGTGTGTGTGAGACACTGGTGTTCAGAGGGATATTTGGTGTGTGTGTGTGTGTGACGCCCTCTAGTGTTCAGAGGGATATTTGGTGTGTGTGTGTGAGACACTGGTGTTCAGAGGGATATTTGGTGTGTGTGTGTGTGATGCCCTCTAGTGTTCAGAGGGATATTTGGTGTGTGTGTGTGTGAGACACTGGTGTTCAGAGGGATATTTGGTGTGTGTGTGTGTGATGCCCTCTAGTGTTCAGAGGGATATTTGGTGTGTGTGTGTGTGATGCCCTCTAGTGTTCAGAGGGATATTTGGTGTGTGTGTGAGAGACACTGGTGTTCAGAGGGATATTTGGTGTGTGTGTGAGAGACACTGGTGTTCAGAGGGATATTTGGTGTGTGTGTGTGAGACACTGGTGTTCAGAGGGATATTTGGTGTGTGTGTGTGTGTGTGTGTGACGCCCTCTAGTGTTCAGAGGGATATTTGGTGTGTGTGTGTGAGACACTGGTGTTCAGAGGGATATTTGGTGTGTGTGTGTGTGATGCCCTCTAGTGTTCAGAGGGATATTTGGTGTGTGTGTGTGAGACACTGGTGTTCAGAGGGATATTTGGTGTGTGTGTGTGTGATGCCCTCTAGTGTTCAGAGGGATATTTGGTGTGTGTGTGAGAGACACTGGTGTTCAGAGGGATGTGTGTGTGTGTGTGTGTGTGTGTGAGATGTCCTCTAGTGTTCAGAGGGATATTTGGTGTGTGTGTGTGAGACACTGGTGTTCAGAGGGATATTTGGTGTGTGTGTGTGTGATGCCCTCTAGTGTTCAGAGGGATATTTGGTGTGTGTGTGAGAGACACTGGTGTTCAGAGGGATATTTGGTGTGTGTGTGAGAGACACTGGTGTTCAGAGGGATATTTGGTGTGTGTGTGTGTGATGCCCTCTAGTGTTCAGAGGGATATTTGGTGTGTGTGTGAGAGACACTGGTGTTCAGAGGGATGTGTGTGTGTGTGTGTGTGTGTGTGAGATGTCCTCTAGTGCAGTGGTTCTCAAAGTGGGGTCCGCGGACCCCTGGTGGTCCGTGAACTATAGCCAGGGGGTCCGCGAAATAATTTATAACAGCCTACCGTTTTTCCCGACTATAAGTCATCTTTTCTTTAGCATCTAAAAACTTGCTATTTATTCCAAAGTGACTTATATAATGCATTTAATGTCAAATAATAAAAAAGTAGGCTCTTAAAGGTTTCTATAGATAGATAATCTATCTATATTTCTTATGTCTGTGCGTCAAGTATTCGCTGTATTTTGGTCGATTTTTGGGCACGTGCGCCAGAAAGGAGACGGAGACGGCAGAACGCGCATCCTGTCTTGTTCTTTATTTTTAAAAGGCATGACATTTTGTAGTCATTTTTAATGTATACACAAATAAAAAATAGACACTTTGCCGTTTTGAATGATGTACTCTTATCTTTATGACCACACCACTGCTGAGGAAAAATCCAAGTGTTCGCGCCGGCGTCTCATGTGCGCGCACAATATGTCAGTTCTAGCACTGCTAATTTGACATCAAAACCTGTTCATTATCAAAATAAAATACTCACCGAACTTATAAAAAGTTCTGCTTAATTTAATTTGTCTGTTGCAGTTGTACACTATGAAGGCAGTGACGGTCAATCATATACTGTCGACTTGCTGTTGTTCCAATCTCATTTCTCCAAATGTGAAGATGCTGATACGTGTAGGCCTATATTGGGACTGAAGCATGAAGCTTTCTTTACATAAATAGTTAAGCTTCCAAATGTTAGGCTACATCGCAAATATGGAAACTTTGGACCGAATGAGAGATGCACGAGCCCAACGTCTGCAGTTTCAGTTTCGATTCAACTTAATTAGTTTAGACTTGATGTTTTAAATAAATGTTGTCTGTATACTATTATTATTTGTATTATTATCTATTAATAGTATTATTTTTCATTCTTGTTTTGTTCTGAATACCATTAATTTAAGGATTTGCTGTGGAGTGAGGGGAAGTATGCCTACTACGCCTCAAGAGCGCAACAAAGTATTACACACTCAGGTCCAACTTATTTTCTGGAGAATACAGTAGGCTAAATTATAAATTTGTGCATAGGGACAGGGTCGTATACCCACAATTGAGGTCCCTGAGGTCCGGGCCTCTGTAATTTTTCTATGTGTATAATGAAAGTTGTGAAATAATTGCCTAATATTAACTCTAATTTGGTGCTGCAAGGATATTAAACATCGCGATGATAACTGACCTTCTCATCTGAGCGGTTTCAGCAGACTAACACCGCTCGTCAATGTCAAAATGTTTGAGTCGGAGATTAAATCAAAGTAGGCGGGCTTATGTTCACAGAAGCTGCAAGCCGAGCGCGAATTTCCGCATGACGCTTCAGTTATTCGGTCATAAAGTGCGAGATAAGATGTAAACCGCTAAACTAAACAGCTGTTTTAGATAGAAGTTTTAAACAAACGACAGAAACAATCAGTTTGCAAAGTATCAACCGGGAAAGGAAATATAGGGGATAGCGGGGCACAACGTAAATCCCAGTTGTGCAAGTGGGTCATGTTGTCACACTGCGTTACAATGAATATGTTTTGAACTATGTTGTATAGCTGTGTGTTCGTTGTCAAACTCAAAAATTAGTTTATTTTTAATTGTTTTAAAATGCCATTATTTTATATGAAAAAGTTAATAATTGTATTTTATTGAGAAAATATTTTTGTTTGTCTTGTATATTTGTTTGATTAGATCAGATAACATTTTAATCTGTCATATGGTCATGTTACCATGTGCCCCACCTATGGGACATGTTGTCACATTGCACTTCCATTCTTTCTGGGTATATCAAGAAAAAAGTACAATTTTTGGCCTTAAAAACACCTTAAAATGCACGTGTAGATCAAGAAAATCTAAAATTCCTCGGGGGGGGGGCATGCCCCCGAACCCCCCTAGCAAGTTCACTTTTGGGACCTCAGTAGGCTATTTAGAAATTCCTGCATATGACCCTGGGTGGAGACTATTTGTGTCAAAATATTTCATTAACCACTCCCACATTAACTTTAGGCTCAGTCACTGTTATAAATATGAGGGGGTCCTTGAAAATGTTTTTCCCCTGTAAGGGGTCCCTGGCTCCAAAATGTTTGAGAACCCCTGCTCTAGTGTTCAGAGGGATATTTGGTGTGTGTGTGAGAGACGCCCTCTAGTGTTCAGAGGGATATTTGGTGTGTGTGTGTGTGTGTGTGTGTGTGTGAGACACTGGTGTTCAGAGGGATATTTGGTGTGTGTGTGAGAGACGCCCTCTAGTGTTCAGAGGGATATTTGGTGTGTGTGTGTGTGTGTGTGTGTGTGTGTGTGAGACACTGGTGTTCAGAGGGATATGTGGTGTGTGTGTGTGTGTGAAACTCTGCCAAATCGTGTGCGGTTTCATTGCGATTAATTGTGCAGCCCTAGAATAAATTATATTTACATCCTTTTTGGGGTTTTTTTTCAGGACAAGTGAATGGCTGATTAAATGTGGCACACGCAGTTCTTCTTATTCTCTGTTCTGGCTCCGCTAGTGCGCTAAACGTCTGTGCCTCTCTCTCTCTCAGCGATAAGAACCACATGCACTTCGGGGCGATCACGTGCGCCATGGGGATCCGCTACAAGTCGTACTGCTCGAACCTGGTGCGGACGCTCATGGTCGACCCGCCGCAGGAAATGCAGGACAACTACAACTTCCTGTTGCAGGTGGAGGAGGAGCTTCTGAAAGAGCTGAAGCACGGTGAGACGCTCCCTGGGATACGCTTATAAAAGAGATTTATATTTTATTTGTTTATTTTTTATTTATTTTGAAAAAGTAATGATGCTGAAAATTGAGCTTTGATCACTGGAATAAATTACATTTTAAAATATCTAAAAATAGAAACAGGTTTTTTAAATGTCATAATATTGAACAATATTAGTTGTTTTTTTTTAAATCAAATAAATATTTAAAAACATTAAAAATCGTACCGATCTCAACTTTTGACTGGTAGTGTAAATATTCCAGAAAATACGGTATATGTTTGTGTGTGTGTGGAGGAGTGTTATAATCTGTGTGTGTGTGTGTGCATCAGGTGTGAAGCTCTGTGACGCCTACAACACTGTCCTGGACTTCGTCAAGAAAGAGAAACCAGACCTGGTCAGCAAGCTCACGAAAAACCTCGGGTTTGTGTCTGAAACCCTCGGGATGTGTTGTGTGTTTGTTGCCACTGTAAATGTGTGTGAAATGAGCCTCGGTCACGGCCTCGGTGTGTGACGCGTGTGTGTGCTGCAGGTTCGCCATGGGGATTGAGTTCAGGGAAGGATCGCTCGTGCTGAACGCAAAAAATCAGTTCAAACTGAAAAGAGGTGAGTGTGTGTGTGTGTGTGAATACTTATCAGGCTTCCAGTTATCTGTATTGTACAGTATTTTGTTGGGGTGCTCCGATTGGCCAGCCGATAATCGCTTTGGGAAGTTTGATCATAAACCGATCTCATGCTGAAGACGCATAAAGACACAAAAACGAACACTACCAAAACCAAATTGCGCTAAAATGGTCAAACACACACAGGCATGTACAAAATTAGCGTTTTGATGAGTATGCATGTAGAAATATGTGTAACAGTATATTAGATCCGTGCGTTCGGTCTTAAAGTGACAGCAGCCTAATAATCCTGCTGTCTGTTATTGTTTGGTTAACATTAATGACACTCTGTGACTAACTTTTGTAACCTTAATTGTAAGGATTAATCTGCATTTAATTTATTCAGGGAAGAATTTTTACATTTAATTCCTTATTAAATTTCTTTACTATTTCTTCCCTCAATGCAAATGTTAAACATACAGAATAAATAAACAGTGCTTTAGGTCTATTACATTTGATTTATGCTACTGCTTGTAAATTGCTTATTTGTTCTTATTTTATTACTGACTGTTTACTTGTCTTGTTTGTGAATTCAGTTCACAGTTATAAATCAGGCTTGTGCAGTGTGTGTGTGTGTGTGTGTGTGAAGTTTCTGCTCAAAATACCCCACAGATATTTTTATATAGTATGTTAAAATTGTCACTTTGTGAGGATGAGCAGCAACCCACTGTTTTTGTGTGAGTCCCTTTAAATGCAAATGAGCTGCAGCTCCCGCACAGGGGGCGGAGCTTCAAGAGCTTGTGTTCTTTTACCTCACACACACACTGAACATTTAAAAAACTTTTAGCCTTTTATGTTCAAACCGGAGTCAGACAATGATAGAGAGACTCAAGAAGTGACAGCATTTCTAAATGGTTAATTGATGAATTTATGTTGCTGATCTGTAGTTATCTTCTAGTCGTTGATTAGCATATTCTGTCAATCTATAAATCGTCTTCCGGGGGTGGGGTTTATGTAAATTTTAGGGTTTATGTCACTAACCCGGGAGGAAGCTCGTGTAGTTCTACCAGCTGTTTGTTGTAGTCCTTAAAGTGATTTCTGTAAAAGCAAATCTCTCCTTTTGCTTTGAACTTTGAGCGTCGTAACTTTGCAGATGTTGTTTATTCTCAAACAGCCACATTACACACTAACTACAGCCACATTACACTCTAGCTACAGCCACATTACACTCTACAGCCACATTACACTCTAACTACAGCCACATTACACTCTAACTACAGCCACATTACACACTAACTATAGCCACATTACACACTAACTGCAGCCACATTACACACTAACTACAGCCACATTACACACCAACTACAGCCACATTACACTCTAACTACAGCCACATTACACACTAACTACAGCCACATTACACACTAACTGCAGCCACATTACACACCAACTACAGCCACATTACACTCTAACTACAGCCACATTACACACCAACTACAGCCACATTACACTCTAGCTACAGCCACATTACACACCAACTACAGCCACATTACACTCTACAGCCACATTACACACTAACTACAGCCACATTACACACTAACTACAGCCACATTACACACTAACTACAGCCACATTACACACCAACTACAGCCACATTACACTCTAGCTACAGCCACATTACACACTAACTACAGCCACATTACACTCTAACTACAGCCACATTACACACCAACTACAGCCACATTACACTCTAGCTACAGCCACATTACACTCTAGCTACAGCCACATTACACACTAACTACAGCCACATTACACACCAACTACAGCCACATTACACACTAACTACAGCCACATTACACTCTACAGCCACATTACACACTAACTACAGCCACATTACACTCTAGCTACAGCCACATTACACTCTACAGCCACATTACACACTAACTACAGCCACATTACACTCTACAGCCACATTACACACTAACTACAGCCACATTACACTCTAGCTACAGCCACATTACACTCTACAGCCACATTACACTCTAACTACAGCCACATTACACTCTAGCTACAGCCACATTACACTCTACAGCCACATTACACTCTAACTACAGCCACATTACACACTAACTACAGCCACATTACACACTAACTGCAGCCACATTACACACTAACTACAGCCACATTACACACCAACTACAGCCACATTACACACTAACTACAGCCACATTACACACCAACTACAGCCACATTACACTCTAACTACAGCCACATTACACACTAACTACAGCCACATTACACACTAACTGCAGCCACATTACACACTAACTACAGCCACATTACACACCAACTACAGCCACATTACACACCAACTACAGCCACATTACACACCAACTACAGCCACATTACACACTAACTACAGCCACATTACACACTAACTACAGCCACATTACACACCAACTACAGCCACATTACACACTAACTACAGCCACATTACACACTAACTACAGCCACATTACACACTAACTACAGCCACATTACACTCTACAGCCACATTACACTCTAACTACAGCCACATTACACACTAACTACAGCCACATTACACACTAACTACAGCCACATTACACTCTACAGCCACATTACACTCTAACTACAGCCACATTACACTCTACAGCCACATTACACTCTAACTACAGCCACATTACACTCTAACTACAGCCACATTACACACTAACTACAGCCACATTACACACTAACTACAGCCACATTACACTCTAACTACAGCCACATTACACACTAACTACAGCCACATTACACACTAACTACAGCCACATTACACACTAACTACAGCCACATTACACTCTAACTACAGCCACATTACACACTAACTACAGCCACATTACACACTAACTACAGCCACATTACACACCAACTACAGCCACATTACACACCAACTACAGCCACATTACACACCAACTACAGCCACATTACACACCAACTACAGCCACATTACACACCAACTACAGCCACATTACACACCAACTACAGCCACATTACACACCAACTACAGCCACATTACACACCAACTACAGCCACATTACACACCAACTACAGCCACATTACACACCAACTACAGCCACATTACACACCAACTACAGCCACATTACACACCAACTACAGCCACATTACACACCAACTACAGCCACATTACACACCAACTACAGCCACATTACACACCAACTACAGCCACATTACACACCAACTACAGCCACATTACACACCAACTACAGCCACATTACACACCAACTACAGCCACATTACACACCAACTACAGCCACATTACACACCAACTACGGCCACATTACACACCAACTACGGCCACATTACACACCAACTACGGCCACATTACACACCAACTACGGCCACATTACACACCAACTACGGCCACATTACACACTAACTACGGCCACATTACACACTAACTACAGCCACATTACACACACACACACTAACTACAGCCACATTACACACTAACTACAGCCACATTACACACACACACACTAACTACAGCCACATTACACTCTAACTACAGCCACATTACACACTAACTACAGCCACATTACACACACACACACTCTAACTACAGCCACATTACACACTAACTACAGCCACATTACACACTAACTACAGCCACATTACACACACACACTAACTACAGCCACATTACACACACACACTCTAACTACAGCCACATTACACACTAACTACAGCCACATTACACACTAACTACAGCCACATTACACACACACACACTAACTACAGCCACATTACACACTAACTACAGCCACATTACACACACACACACTAACTACAGCCACATTACACACACACACACTAACTACAGCCACATTACACACTAACTACAGCCACATTACACACACACACACTAACTACAGCCACATTACACACTAACTACAGCCACATTACACACACACACACTAACTACAGCCACATTACACTCTAACTACAGCCACATTACACACTAACTACAGCCACATTACACACACACACACTCTAACTACAGCCACATTACACACTAACTACAGCCACATTACACTCTACAGCCACATTACACTCTAACTACAGCCACATTACACACTAACTACAGCCACATTACACACTAACTACAGCCACATTACACTCTACAGCCACATTACACTCTAACTACAGCCACATTACACTCTACAGCCACATTACACTCTAACTACAGCCACATTACACTCTAACTACAGCCACATTACACACTAACTACAGCCACATTACACACTAACTACAGCCACATTACACTCTAACTACAGCCACATTACACACTAACTACAGCCACATTACACACTAACTACAGCCACATTACACACTAACTACAGCCACATTACACTCTAACTACAGCCACATTACACACTAACTACAGCCACATTACACACACACACACTAACTACAGCCACATTACACACTAACTACAGCCACATTACACACACACACACTAACTACAGCCACATTACACTCTAACTACAGCCACATTACACACTAACTACAGCCACATTACACACACACACACTCTAACTACAGCCACATTACACACTAACTACAGCCACATTACACACTAACTACAGCCACATTACACACACACACACTAACTACAGCCACATTACACACACACACACACACACTCTAACTACAGCCACATTACACACTAACTACAGCCACATTACACACTAACTACAGCCACATTACACACACACACACTAACTACAGCCACATTACACACTAACTACAGCCACATTACACACACACACACTAACTACAGCCACATTACACTCTAACTACAGCCACATTACACACTAACTACAGCCACATTACACACACACACACACTCTAACTACAGCCACATTACACTCTAACTACAGCCACATTACACTCTAACTACAGCCACATTACACACTAACTACAGCCACATTACACACACACACACACACACTCTAACTACAGCCACATTACACTCTAACTACAGCCACATTACACTCTAACTACAGCCACATTACACACTAACTACAGCCACATTACACACACACACACACACTAACTACAGCCACATTACACACTAACTACAGCCACATTACACACCAACTACAGCCACATTACACACCAACTACAGCCACATTACACACCAACTACAGCCACATTACACACTAACTACAGCCACATTACACACTAACTACAGCCACATTACACACACACACACACACTAACTACAGCCACATTACACTCTAACTACAGCCACATTACACACACACACACACACACTCTAACTACAGCCACATTACACTCTAACTACAGCCACATTACACTCTAACTACAGCCACATTACACACTAACTACAGCCACATTACACACACACACACACTAACTACAGCCACATTACACACCAACTACAGCCACATTACACACCAACTACAGCCACGTTACACACTAACTACAGCCACATTACACACACACACACACACTAACTACAGCCACATTACACACTAACTACAGCCACATTACACACACACACACACTAACTACAGCCACATTACACACCAACTACAGCCACGTTACACACTAACTACAGCCACATTACACACACACACACACACCAACTACAGCCACATTACACACTAACTAAAGCTAGAAGGTTGAAATCATAATCAACCACCCCTTTAAGCATTTAGGTGAGATAATTATATAAAAATCCCTATAAAAAATCCCCCCGCAAGAGTCCCATAAGGAGAGATTCCCCCGTCTTCAGGAGTGAATGTATGTCTCTATAAATAACTCTAATAGAGCGGTATCGGTGATCCGCAGATTCTGCTTCCTGAGGTCCTGATCGGAGCACCCTTACTAGTTTGCATTGTCATTAAAATATTAACAAATAATTTGTTCCTGTAATTAAATTGTATTAATTTAGCATTTTTTTTATGATTCATGATGCTGTTTGACAAGTGTATTATTGTGTGTAATGTTCAAAATGTACAGTTTTTGTTTGTGTATCAAAAACTCTAATAGCAATTCTTCTGATTAAAAATGGTTTTTGATTATTATCTACAGTTTGTCTGTAAAATTAAATTATTAATATTATGTTCTTATATTGAGAAAAAAATATATATATAAATAAATCAGTTTTTGGTTATATTGTGCAGCACTAAAAAAATGAATAAATGGGGACATATAAATAAATCCATCCATCATTAGTTTATCCATCTTTCTGTCTGTTCATCCATTTATTCATTAATTCAATCAATTCATTCATAATATTGATTAATTTATATTATTAGTTACATACTTTTTACTGTAACCTGTAGATTTCCATACTAATGGTTGTCTTAATTTATTAATTTTAAGACATTAAACCATTTAGCTTATTTGCCAGAAGCCTTTAACTTCTCTTTTGTTGACAACAGCCTGTTTATAAGAGTTTCTCATCGCAAGTTTGAGACGCGGCATCCACCGTCACAAACGCATGTTTGCTCTGAGACCCTGAATCGTGAGCGCTTCACTCTGAGACTCGCTAACTGACGCCTGTGTGTTTGTGAAGGGATGGTTTTCAGTGTCAGTCTGGGACTTGCTGATCTGATCAACAAAGAAGGGAAGAAAGACGAGCAGAAGAAATACGCCCTCTTCATCGGAGACTCCATCCAGATCAATGAGGTGGGTGATGCTCCTCACCTGTTTATTGTTACCCGGGATGAAGTGAGCGAATCGCTATCAAACGTTCCTGTAACCGTGTGTTCGTCCACAGGAGGATCAAGCCACCATCCTCACCCCGGTGAAGAAGAAGATTAAAAACGTTGGGATTTTCCTCAAGGTAACGTCCGTCTCCTGCGTGTTCGTTCCCACTCCACATGAATGCATGTCAAAAACAAAATCTTGCTCGATTGACTGATAGATATGCTTCCATCCATGCATTTGTAGTCATATTTTGGGTCCCACTTTATATTAAGTGGCTTTAACTACTATGTACTAACATCGAAATGAATAATTTGATACAATGGACTTATTGTGTACATGCAGGTATTTTTTCAAAATATAAGTACAATGTAAAAACATGCATGTAATTACAGCTGTAATTGATTTTTGTAACTACATTTGTAATGACACCGTTGACCTTCCCTGAATAACAGCACACGTGTTTCACAATACAGCATCAACACAATAAGAAGAGTAAACAAGGTTTTCTTTTATTGAATTATGCCGATTTTTAATTCCATGAGACGATGATTTTTATCATGGCAAACTTTGAAGGACTTATTTTGTGAGATGGAACCAGATAGAAAAACTAACTTTTCTCACAATTACATTAAACCTGCATCCTTCCCTCGCACTTTGTAACACAAAATGCCCCGAAGCCCTAAAATTATATATATATATATATATATTTTCTTTTTTGTCCAGAAAGCTTATTTTATTGCATTTTTTTATTTTCACTTTCATTTTTTAATGCAATTTCTTGAGTTATTTTTTAAAAATTACTATTTATTTAATAATAAATAAATAGTAATTTAAGCACATTCCTCCCATTCTTTCAAATTCCATATCGAACAATTGTTCGATGTACTTAAAGCCACTTAATATGAAGTGGGACCAAATTTTGCGATGATGGAAAAACGCCAAGATGTGAAATCCGTTATTTAATGCCATATTAAAAGTTTAATTTTCAACTTTGTATTGGAACAGCTTCAGAGGGCTGAGAAATGAAGATGGGAAAGAACTTGAACTGTTTTCTGTCTGCGTTTCTAGAACGATGACGAAGATGATGACGATGAAGAGGATAATAATGCCGACGAGCTGCTGGGAAAAGGAGCTCGTGGCGCCGCCCTGCTGACCGACAGAACCAGGGTATTTACTTCTGTTTATTAATCATAACCATCATCTATTCAGACTCCTTCAACATCTCTCACATTATCACAGTTTATTCGCTATAGTTTAGACAACGGTAATGAAATATGAGCAGAACTCAGTGGATATTTGACTGGTTTTGTCCGTCCTTCTGTTAGACTCTCACACATGAATTATGTTGAATATCTGTCAGCTGTTAAATTTAACTACACAATTAGATAATACCAGTTTAGCTCAACCAGTGACCAAGCAATGCTTCATGTTGTTCAGTCTGTGTGTAAAAAGAGCATTAGCAATTACGGAAAACACACTTCAGCCGAACATGATCAGCTCAAAGTGGCGGAATCAAATTTTTATATTAATTGTTGGGTGTAATGTGTCACAGTTTACTTTATTTTGCTCTCCTCACTCACACTCATGAACTATAGTGTCCTGATCCCACTAGCGAAACAATATCACAAAGTATATCTGGTGTCTGAATCGGTTTTGCTGTGACTGTATATTCACCTGTGTGTTGTGTGTGCGCTCACGTTCGCTGTGTTCTGATTGGTCAGAATGAGATGACGGCTGAGGAAAAGAGGCGGGCCCATCAGAAGGAACTGGCCAATCAGGTGAACGAGGAGGCCAAGCGGCGACTGACGGAGCAGAAGGGAGGACAGCAGATCCAGAAGTGAGATTTACAACACACACACACACACACGCGTGCTTCTATAAAGGTGCAGTGTGTAATATTTAGGAGGATCTGTTGACAGAAATGCAATATCATATACATAACTGTTTTCAGTGGTGTGTAAAGACCTTACATAATGAACCGTTGTGTTTTTATTAGCTTAGAATGAGCATCTCTACACACACCGCGGGTCCGCTCACATCCACATGTTTCTACGGTGGCCCTGAGCGGACAAACGCGTTTCGTCACTGTGTTGTTCTTCATGATAAGAAGCTGCTAAAGTCAGCGAATAAAACACTGACACAGTGATGAACAAGTAACAATAATATTCACAAAAACATATCGTAGCATTTGCTACTTTTTTAAGTTTCACAAAACAAAAAAAGTAACTTTTTAAAAAAAAAAAGTGTTTCGGGTCAAAATGACCCAAAGGAAGGTTGAAGGTTTAAATAATATTTTTCATTTTTTTTTTTTTTAAGTTGATTTTTATAAAATGTTTTCTATTATAATGTTGAATCTGAATGTCATGTAATGAACTTTAATACAACCAGCATCGATGCAAACGCTCTTCTCTCTTAATGTCCCCCTTCAGAGCCAGAAAGTCCAATGTGTCGTATAAGAACGTTTCCCAGATGCCCCGGGAGAAGGACATCAGAGACATGAAGATCTACATCGATAAGAAGTACGAGACGGTCATCATGCCCGTGTTTGGCATCGCTACGCCTTTTCACATCGCCACCATCAAGGTAAGCGAACCTCGGCGCTCTCGCTGATGTATATCTGACAATCGGGAGCCAGATTCACCAAATATTCCTGAGAACATATGATATATTGGTTAGACTTTACAATAAGGTGCAGTAGTTAACATTAGTTAACATGAACTGCCAAGCTAACTGAGGATATGCTGAACAATACTTCAGCATTTATTAATCTTAGTTAATATTAATTAATGTTTTTGCTTAAGAAGATTGAGTCTGGCCCGTGTTTTGGCCTCATCTGAGTCTCTCTCTCGTGTGTGTGTGTGTGTGTGTGTGTGCAGAACATCAGTATGTCAGTGGAAGGAGACTACACCTATCTGAGGATAAACTTCTTCGTGCCGGGCAGTTCGCTGGGGCGTCACGAGGGCAACATCTTCCCAAACCCCGAGGCCACGTTTGTCAAAGAGATGTAAGAGATTTCATGATGTTGAAGTCCATCGTTGGGCCTGATTCATGAAACACAATGTGTAAAAATTGCTTTAAATCATTTAAAGTCCCCCTGTAGTCAGTTTTATCCCTTATAACTCATCTTTAATCACCAAAATGACACATTTAAACGTTTTTTTCTTGAAAAAATATCTTGCATGTAAGTCGACACCCTTGCCTCATTTAGTATGCGTGGTTCTATGAATATGCAAATGAGCCCCGCCTCCACTCACTCACTCAGCTCAGAGATCCACTGGTTGACGATCACATGTTGATCTGATTGGTTACAAGGTCGTTTGTGACGTCAGAAACACCAGCGATTTCACACCGTGTTTTTGAGACTGTCTTTGGTTCACTGCAGTTTTAAGCAGAAAATACTCAGCAATGCTGTCGACTTATGAACTTACACATGGTGTGTCTTAAAGCATATTAATAACACCACATAGACACATAAACAACATTAAAAGCACCACAGAGGGACTTTAAGATTATTTGCTGCGCGCAGTTCAATGCAAAAATAATGGCCTTTTTTTGTTGTTCTGGGTTTCACTTTTGCGTTAAACAATTAATCCTACTATCAATCAGTTCCAAAAATAAATACAAAACCTGTGCTAATTAAAAGAAAAGGATTAAAAGGATACTTTAATATCCTATTATCTCTGTAAAGCTGCTTTGAAACAGTCTGTATTGTTAAAGCGCTGTATAAATAAAGGTGACTTGCCATTAGTGATGAACACCTGCTGTTAACAAGCAGAACTTCTATACTAACTTGTTCAAAGCGCTGTATAAATGAAGGCGACTAGACATTAGTGATGAACACCTGCTGTTAACAAGCAGAACTACTATACTATACTAATCGTAGCCTACGAGTCAATAGGTGTCATCATCATACAGTCAATACATGCAGTACCAAGTTTATTAGATCCAAGTTTATTAAATAAAGGTGACTTGACTTTATGCATGACCTTACCAACAACATTGAAGCTTCACTCTAACACGCGGTTCTTTTCCTCTTTTAGCACGTACCGCGCGTCTAACCTGAAATCCCCGGGCGATCACTCGGTTCCCTCCACAAACCTGCAGAACGCCTTCCGCATCATCAAGGAGGTGCAGAAGCGCTACAAGACCCGCGAGGCGGAGGAGAAGGAGAAGGAGGGCATCGTCAAGCAGGACTCGCTCGTCATCAACCTCAACCGCAGCAACCCCAAACTCAAAGACCTCTACATCCGGCCCAACATCGCCCAGAAGCGGATGCAGGGCTCGCTCGAGGCGCACACCAACGGTGAGAGGGTCCGGCTCTAGCGGTAGCTCACCCAAGAATTTACTCTCCCTCAAGTCATCCTAGGTCTATGTGACATTTAGGGCTGCAACTAGCGATTATTTTGACAATCGATTAATCGGACGATTATTTTTCGATTAATCGGATAAATTCAATTATATATTTTTTTTTATTATAACTAAATAAAACCCTAAATCAGGGTATTTATGTGTAAAAGTGTACTTTAAAAAGTGCAAAAGCCACACATTGAGTTTTACTAATGTAAATATCTAAACAGAAAAACAAAATATCGTGATTTTATTTCCAATATCGTGCGGCCCTGGATTGTATATTTGCGCAGGTAGTATCGCAATTGTAACCTATTAATTGCAATAATTGTCTTCTAACAAACTATTCAATAAATCTCTATCAAATAAAGTTCCTCAATCTGAAAAGACTGCCTGTCTTGGCTTGTCTCCAGGTTTCCGCTTCACGTCAGTACGCGGAGATAAAGTCGACATCCTTTACAACAACATCAAGCACGCCGTGTTCCAGCCCTGCGACGGCGAGATGATCATTGTGCTGCACTTCCATCTCAAGGTGCGCCATTTTACTGTCACTGAAATACTGTTGCAGTTTTTATTCATGTGTAATTATTTTTATATTCTGTATTTTTATATTTTCTGTATTCTTTTTTTATTTTATGTATTTTTTTATATTATATTTCATATTTTCTGTATTCTTAATTTTTTTTATATTTTCTGCATTATTTTTGATTGAAAATATATTTTATATTTTCTGTTCTTTTTAATTATTTTTTATATTTTCTGTATTTTTAATTTTTATATATTCTGTATTTTTAATCATTTTTATATTTTCTGTTCTTTTTAATTTTTTATATTGTCTATTTTTTATTATTTTTATATTTTCTGTAATATTTTGAATTCTTTTATATTTTCTTTAATATTTTGAATTCTTTTTTATATTTTCTGTAATAGTTTGAATTCTTTTTTAATATTTTCTGTTCTTTTTAATTATTTTTTATATTTTCTGTGTTTTTTAATTCTTTTATATTTTCTGTATTATTTTTAATAGATTTTATATATTCTGAATTAAGAATTTTTAATATTTTCTGTGTTTTTTTTAATACATTTTTTATATTTTCTGTTATTTTGAATTCTTTTTTATATTTTCTGTATTTGTCATTTTTTAATATTCTGAATTTAAGAATTTTCTATATTTTCTTTTTTTTTAATTATATTTTCTGTAATATATTTAAGATTTTTTTTATATTTTCTTTTCTTTTTAATTGTTATTTATATTTTCTGTATTTTTAATTTTGTATATTCTTTGTATTTTAAATTATTTTATTTTTTTTCTGTTATTTTTAATTATTTTTAATATTTTCTGTATTAAGAATTTTTTATATTTTCTGTGTTCTTTTTACTTAGTCTTATATTGTGTGTTCGTTTTCCTCCCGTCTCTCATGGACTGAATGTAACGCAGTTTTGTGTGTGTCGTAGAACGCCATCATGTTCGGTAAGAAGCGGCACACAGACGTGCAGTTCTACACAGAGGTGGGCGAGATCACGACAGACCTGGGCAAACACCAGCACATGCACGACCGCGACGACCTCTACGCAGAACAGATGGAGCGAGAGATGAGACACAAGCTCAAATCCGCCTTCAAGAACTTCATCGAGAAGGTGGAGTCCCTCACCAAGGAAGAGCTGGAGTTCGAGGTTCCCTTCAGAGACCTCGGGTGAGCGAGTCAATGAAGCTCCATGTAACCGCGTCAAGCATGCTTCCATGTCCCCGTACACACATAAGATTTCAATCAAACAATGACTCACTTTTGTGAGTGAAGGTGTTTTTTTTACACCAATACAATTTTTCTTGGGGAAATGCAAAACTTGTGAACGAACAAAGTTAGTTATCGCAAAAGTTTTATGAATGGACTATTGGGGAAATGCAAAGTATTTTGAGTTAACGCAAAACATATTACGTTTTGTGGGGGGTTAAAACAAACTAGGTTTTTTTGCTTAATGTGTTTTTTTTGTTGTTTTTTTGCTTAACGCAAAATGTTTCAGGTTTCAGGGCGCCCCCTACAGGAGCACCTGTTTACTGCAGCCCACTTCCAGCTCGCTCTGCAACGTCACCGAGTGGGTGAGTGTCTCGCCACACACATCCACACACACCCATACTAGTGGAGCGGATCGCCACACACCCATACTAGTGGAGCGGATCGCCACACACATCCACACACACCCATACTAGTGGAGCGGATCGCCACACACCCATACTAGTGGAGCGGATCGCCACACACCCACACACACCCATACTAGTGGAGCGGATCGCCACACACCCACACACACCCATACTAGTGGAGCGGATCGCCACACACCCACACACACCCATACTAGTGGAGCGGATCGCCACACACATCCACACACACCCATACTAGTGGAGCGGATCGCCACACACCCATACTAGTGGAGCGGATCGCCACACACACCCATACTAGTGGAGCGGATCGCCACACACACCCACACACACCCATACTAGTGGAGCGGATCGCCACACACCCACACACACCCATACTAGTGGAGCGGATCGCCACACACACCCATACTAGTGGTGGAGCGGATCGCCACACACCCACACACACCCATACTAGTGGAGCGGATCGCCACACACACCCACACACACCCATACTAGTGGAGCGGATCGCCACACACACCCACACACACCCATACTAGTGGAGCGGATCGCCACACACACCCACACACACCCATACTAGTGGTGGAGCGGATCGCCACACACACCCATACTAGTGGAGCGGATCGCCACACACCCATACTAGTGGAGCGGATCGCCACACACCCACACACACCCATACTAGTGGAGCGGATCGCCACACACACCCACACACACCCATACTAGTGGAGCGGATCGCCACACACACCCACACACACCCATACTAGTGGTGGAGCGGATCGCCACACACCCACACACACCCATACTAGTGGTGGAGCGGATCGCCACACACCCACACACACCCATACTAGTGGTGGAGCGGATCGCCACACACCCACACACACCCATACTAGTGGAGCGGATCGCCACACACCCACACACACCCATACTAGTGGAGCGGATCGCCACACACCCACACACACCCATACTAGTGGGATCGCCACACACCCACACACACCCATACTAGTGGAGCGGATCTCAACATTCATGGTTCCGATCATTTTTCATATATATATATATATATATATATATATATATATATATATATATATATATATATATATATATATATATATATATATTAGGGCTGTCAAACGATTAATCGCATCCAAAATAAAAGTTTGTGTTTACATAATATATGTGTGTGTAGTGTGTATAATTATTTTGTATATATAAATACACACACATGCATGTATATATTTAAGAAAAATGTGTTATTAATATATAGAATATTTATATTTATATATAATATTAATTATGTATAAATATATATAAAATATATACATGCAAATATTTCTTAAATATATACATGCATGTGTGTGTATTTATATATACAAAATAATTATACACACTACACACACATATATTATGTAAACACAAACTTTTATTTTGGATGCGATTAATCGCGATTAATCATTTGACAGCCCTAATATATATATATATTAGAGGTGGGCATAGATTAATTTTTTTAATCTAGATTAATCTAGATTAATATTGAAATTAATCTAGATTAATCTAGATTAAAATGGCTCATTTGAATTCTCCCGAAGGCATTCAGAATATGTGTGCTACTACCCAAATAATGACTAAAAGTAAGTCTTTGAGAATAGTTTGCCTCGCGTAGGGATGTGCATTTCTGCCAAAAATGCCATTCGACAATCGAGGAGCAAAAGTCGAATATCGTTTAAAAAAAAAACGCAATGACAGAAAGGGAGGCCAATTTCATCTTTAGCGATTTGTCATCAAACAAACTGTTTATTAATTGAACAAGTAACATGTTTTCGTCCTTTTTTTTTAACATAGTAGGCTAATTGGAAGAAGAAGAAAAACAATACGCACGACAGTCCGTTTTTGCATCGCCAATGCTCGTTAGATCAAAAAATAATGTCATATGTCATAAGAATTTTATGTGAACCTGCCTTGTTACTGCAATAGCCTCATTTTTAAACAAATTAGTTTCAATCAATGTAAACTATTCGTGTGATTATGCCACTGTGCAATACACGCGCAATACACACACAATGTATTACCTGAATGAAATGAAATCGAATGTATCGTCCTGTGGAATCATTCATTCACAGACAGCTTACGAAGATGTTCAACTAATAAAGATCTTCATCGCTGGCAAAAATATGATGCATTTGCAGATTTGTATTCACTAGACTAGACTGTAGATCGGCCACTTCATCCAACGCTCTTGATGCTCTTAAATCTTCCTGTTTCGACTCCGAGTGTGAATTGAAAGCGCTTCAGACGATTCAGTGCGCGAGGAACTGAACAGATCAACTGATTCGCGAACCGATTTAGACAGATCATCTGACAACTTGTTTGATGAAGTCTTTGAACAGAATCGACTCAAAAGAGTGATTCATTTGTAAATGAGCATCGCTCATGCCCATACAAGGACACAGCGCGCTTGGAATAAACTCATTTAACAACGTATTGCATTAAAATAAAGTAACGAGAGGAACGTCGCCCAACGTAACAAAGTAAAAGTACACCTTGTGTCCCTGACAGGAAAATACCCTACTGCGCGATCTGTGACAGTAGGCGCGGCGTCATACTACACATTAGAATTGCGCGAAAATATAACGATATTCGAAAAAGCTATTTATGATCCCAACCCAACTTTGATTAACGGCGATATTTTTTTTATCGCCCGATAAGAGTCTCACGTTAACGCAGCACGTTAACGCCGATAACCGCCCAGCACTAATATATATATATATACATACACGCACCCTACACACAGTCACACACACACCCACACACAGTCACACACACCCGTTCTCACGGCCGACTCTCTCCCGCAGCCTCCGTTCGTGGTGACGCTCGACGAGGTAGAGCTGGTTCACTTCGAGCGAGTCCAGTTCCACCTCAAGAACTTCGACGTGGTCATCGTTTATAAAGACTACAACAAGAAAGTCACCATGATCAACGCCGTGCCCGTCAACTCTCTGGATCCCATCAAAGAGTGGCTCAAGTAAGATTGTAACTAGTGATGTGTCGCCATGGATGTACATGGAAAATAAATGTTTAATTGCTGCAGTTGTTTTCATGTTATTGACTATCTTTAAAGGTGCAGTGTGTAAATTTGAACAGCATCTAGTGGTGAGGTTGCGAATTGCACTCAACAGAACTTACGGTGGCCGACAGGAAGTGATGTCGTCGTCTGAGACAGCAGAGAGTTGCCAGTTTATTAACCCTCTGGGGACCAAGGTGTTTTTGGGGTCCTTGAGATGTTTTGACATGCCCTGACATTTGTGCTTTTTTCAGTTGCTTATAAACATATTAATGGCACAGGTGTAATTACACTCTATTTAGCACAAACAGGGCTACCATAATATGTGAGCAACATGTATGTACATGTTTGTATTTTTGAGAGAATATTGTTTATGCGTGGTTATTGAAAAAACTAAAAATTAAAGTTTCTGAAATAAGGCCACAAAACACATACTAAATACACTCACCGGCCACTTTATTAGGTACACCTGTCCAACTGCTCGTTAACACTTAATTTCTAAGCAGCCAATCACATGGCGGCAACTCAGTGCATTTAGGCATGTAGACATGGTCAAGACAATCTCCTGCAGTTCAAACCAAGCATCAGTATGGGGAAGAACGTTGATTTGAGTGACTTTGAACGTGGCATGATTGTTGGTGCCAGAAGGGCTGGTCTGAGTATTTCAGAAACTGCTAATCTACTGGGATTTTCACGCACAACCATCTCTAGGGTTTACAGAGAATGGTCCGAAAAAGAAAAAACATCCAGTGAGCGGCAGTTCTGTGGGCGGAAATGCCTTGTTGATGCCAGAGGTCAGAGGAGAATGGCCAGACTGGTTCGAGCTGATAGAAGGGCAACAGTGACTGAAATAACCACTCGTTACAACCGAGGTATGCAGCAAAGCATTTGTGAAGCCACAACACGCACAACCTTGAGGCGGATGGGCTACAACAGCAGAAGACTCCACCGGGTACCACTCATCTCCACTACAAATAGGAAAAAGAGGCTACAATTTGCAAGAGCTCACCAAAATTGAACAGTTGAAGACTGGAAAAATGTTGCCTGGTCTGATGAGTCTCGATTTCTGTTGAGACATTCAGATGGTAGAGTCAGAATTTGGCGTAAACAGAATGAGAACATGGAACCATCATGCCTTGTTACCACTGTGCAGGCTGGTGGTGGTGGTGTAATGGTGTGGGGGATGTTTTCCTGGCACACTTTAGGCCCCTTAGTGCCAATTGGGCATCGTTTAAATGCCACGGCCTACCTGAGCATTGTTTCTGACCATGTCCATCCCTTTATGGCCACCATGTACCCATCCTCTGATGGCTACTTCCACCATGTCACAAAGCTCTAATCATTTCAAATTGGTTTCTTGAACATGACAATGAGTTCACTGTACTAAAATGGCCTCCACAGTCACCAGATCTCAACCCAATAGAGCATCTTTGGGATGTGGTGGAACGGGAGATTCGCATCATGGATGTGCAGCCGACAAATCTGCGGCAACTGTGTGATGCCATCATGTCAATATGGACCAAACTCCCTGAGGAATGCTTCCAGCACCTTGTTGAATCTATGCCACGAAGAATTGAGGCAGTTCTGAAGGCAAAAGGGGGTCCAACCCGTTACTAGCATGGGGTACCTAATAAAGTGGCCGGTGAGTGTATGTGTCCACAAGACTTTTGACTAATGGATGTTGTCGCCTAGAGTTTTTTCTTCAAAATGATCTGAAAATCATCCTGCCTTATCATTCACATAAAACAATAGATTATAATAGAGGTTCACAGTTCCAATTATTTATTTATTTTTCAAGTTGTGCTTGCAAATTGTATAATATCAAATCTAAACATTTCTAGTAATTGTGCAGTTAATTCTCATACTGTTTTTACAGAAAGTTTGGGAATATATCCCAAATGTGTCACTAATAAAACACAATACAAATAATTTAAAGAGGAGGTTTATTGAGCTTTTAAGATTTTCCTAAGATTTATTTATATGTAGCCTACATATATTTTTTGCTATTTTAATAAAAAGGTTACAATTACAACAACAATTAAAATTGTAACTAAATTTCAAATGTAATCTTTCTTTGTATATACTAAAGTATACATTTTATCATACATATTTCACAGTTGCGGATTAATTAGTTTGAATATAGCCTACAATCGAACAAACACTATAATACGACATCTTGTCTTTCATATGTAACATATCGTTTTTATGATTAGGACATATAAATGTTAATTTGCAGTTTAATACGTTGCTTATACAAAAATATTTAATTTCAACATATTTCAGTCTACTTTTACTCATCTCAGTATTGGAATATAGTTAGGTAAAAGCTGTTCATTCATTCACACACAAAAACGCGATTCAAACAGTCTTTTTGTTTACAGACACTATTTCATATCGCGATTAGCACAAAGCACTTGAAAATAAAGAATGTACCTATTTCCTCGGCTGGATCCGTTGCTCCTCCAAATGAAACTACCTGTAGCCTACTTCTGAGGTAATTTTTTCCAGGATTATTATTAAGATAGTATTATTCCTCACAGCGTCGTAAATCTGAGTCTCTTTCGGTGGTTATCCAGCTGATGTGGGCGTGGATCGCCTCAGAGCGTTTGTGTTTGAATAGAGCGCGCGCTCCGTGGGCGTGGTCAAATTAACTTTAATTAGCTGAGACGAGAACGACTATCATCTCTCTCTTTTCGTACAGATTACATAAAATGAGAAAATTTGTTTTTTATATAAATTACTTAATTTAAAAGATAATTCAGGCCTCATGCCTGTGTGCCTGTATAACTGTTTGACTGAGTATTTGCAGAGTTACAGATGATTTTTCGGACGCGTTTCAGAATGGACTTCACTGACAGAGAGAACGCAGAACGCGCATCATGTTTATTTTTCTTTATTAGGCGAAAAGCACAACACTTTTTTTTTTATTATGAGGTTCCACAAAAAAAATACAAACTTAACAGGATCGAATGATGTACAACACTTATATGTAAGATCAAAATCAACAGAGTAATTTGAGTCTCTTTTGCACTGATAAGGAAAAAAGTGAGCTGGTATCGCCGGCGAGACCACCGACCCCAGAGGGTTAATGAGGTTTCTTTACAAAGATTAAGAATATGTTTACTTAATAATATTCACAATAACATATCGTTTTACTGAATAATTGTTACTTGTTCATCACTGTGTCAGTGTTTTATTCGCTGACTTTAGCAGCTTCTTATCATGAAGAACGACACAGTGACGAAACCCGTTTGTCCGCTCAGGGCCACCGTAGAAACATTTCGATGTGAGCGGACCCGCGGTGTGTGTAGAGAGAAATGCCTCATTCTAAGCTAATAAACACATAACGGTTCATTATGTAAGGTCTTTACACACCACTGAAAACAGTTATGTATATGATATTGCATTTCTGTCAACAGATCCTCCTAAATATTACACACTGCACCTTTAAATTAAACATATCAGCCAATATAGAGGATGTCAACATCTGCCATCTAAAAACATGTATCGTTAAATCGCTAATGCTAACAGAGTGAATGTGTGTGTGCAGCTCGTGTGATATCAAGTACACCGAGGGCGTCCAGTCTCTGAACTGGACCAAGATCATGAAGACTATAGTGGACGACCCCGAGGGCTTCTTCGAACAGGGCGGCTGGTCCTTCCTCGACCCTGAGAGTGAGGTGAGCGTCTGCTGTGATGAGGGGTGGGGGTTAACACAAAAGAGTTTTTTGGAGTTAGCTTAAATTAGGTGCCGTGTGTCTCAGGGAAGCGGAGCGGAGGACGACTCTGAGTCTGAGATGGAGGACGAGACCTTCAACCCCTCGGCTGATGAGGAGGAGGAGGAGGAGGAGGACAGTGATGAAGACTACTCCTCTGAGACCGAGGACTCCTGTAATGGTAAGGCTCGCTTCACTTTTGCTGCATTTGATTTTAGCTCTAGGAACTCTTTTGAGGGACAAATTTACTCGTACTTCAGAGTCGGTCTAGCGCTATAGGAACTACAGTGACGGTAGTGTTCGCTGATTGGCCAAACGCACGCGAAACACCAGAAACCGCGATTTAAAAAAAGCTGTGTACACAGATTCTGGAGTAAATATATAATAAGGTATAATCTAACTCTACGAACATGTAAAACAGTGATAGATGAAGCTCTAACTCTAAACCCAACGCGACTTTGAGGAGGCCGAGAGAAACATGATTGTGAACACTGGACATCAACACACGCCATACGCTGATAACTCGTAACAGTTGAATCTGATAACGTGTTAGACAGATCGTACACTGATGAACACGGAGAATGCGAACGCTGTCCTTCTCAGCGCCGTCAAAATAAAAGTCCCAACAACAAGCGGGTCTTGCGTCACTTCAGAGTTCCTCCTGGCGCTCGAACGCAACCAGGAAATGTTCCTAAGGGGGACCAGTAGTTCTCGGCCTGTAATCAGGGGTCGCACGCGGTGCTGGAGTTTGACTTTTTGAAATGTAAGTCCTGGAAAACCCTTGAAAGCAGCCATGTTTATGAAGAGAGGTGCTGGAAAAGTGCTTGAATTATTGAAAGACAATATGAAATTAGTGCTTAATTGTTTCGAGAAGACAATATTTTCACACAAAATGAACACTGCAGCCCGTCTGATATCGATATAAAGACAGTTCGCATGGCTGTGAACGTGATATTGCTCATATACATATACAAGTACATGATACAGCTTTCATTCTTGCGCTCCATCATAATTAATGGTGAAAAACCAGTTTGAATAAGGAAAGCGATTTCTTTATCACAGTATCCTTTCAATGGTTAAAGTTTCCAGTCAGTGCATGTGTTGCACTTTATTCGTACCATTTAGTTTCATTAGTTCATTTTTATTTATCCGTTTGCCTTTTTTAGAATTTGAAAGATAATGATATTGTTTGATAAGTGAAATCTCTGATTATAGCCCTTGAAAGTCCTGGAATTTAATTTGACAGTGTCTGTACGAACCCTGTGTGATTGGTTAGTAGGTCGCAGAAGCTCCTGATTGGTTGTCTGAGTGATCATGTGATTGTTGATCTCAGATTACAGCGCGTCTCTGGGCAGCGAAGAGGAGAGTGGGAAAGACTGGGACGAACTGGAGGAGGAAGCCAGGAAAGGTGAGTTCAATCCACTGTTTTCCCTCCAGAATGATGTCACTTCCTGGAGGATCTGTTAGTTGTTGTTATGGTGTAGTATGATGTGTATTGGCAGGACGGCACATGTGAATAGGGTGAAAATGTAAAGTTATAGATATCGCTATACTTCCCTAGTTAATCAATCACAGTACGTTAAGACGAGTGATTACGATTTTCCTCGAATGTTATGGTTAAATATGCGGATGATGCATTATTGAATTAAATATGCATTAATTTGCACACATTTCCAGAACAGAAATCTAAACTTTGGATAAAGCCAAGTTCAAAATTCATCTTTTTATCACTTCATAAATCATCAAATACTGTAAAATACACAGTAAATAAAAAACGTTTTAGGAATAGTGTTCTTTAGATATATGTATATTTGGCTTATTTGAAGTAAAGATTTAGTTTTTGATAAAAGTAGTTTTTGTTTATTAATATTTTATTCCTTTAAGCTAATTTGAAGTAATAAAACTATAATGTAGTAGTATTATTTAATTTGAACATTATTATATTAGTAGTAGTGTTTCCCTGTCAGAGGAGTTTGGGAAACTCGGTTTGAGCCTTCAATGATATGACTTGTAATTGAAATATACCAACTCAAATAGAAGTTCAATAAAATAAACACTTAAATGTGTGTGTTGGGTTTTTTCTTTCCACTAATCTGAATAAAGACAAATCTATGGAAGCTTGTTTACGCCACAGTATAAAACATTTTAAAAGATAATTCTGACTTTATATCGCAATTCTGACTTTATATCTCGCAATTCTGACTTTATATCTCGCAATTCTGACTTTATCACGCAATTCTGACTTTATATCTCGCAATTCTGACTTTATATCTCGCAATTCTGACTTTATATCACGCAATTCTGACTTTATATCACGCAATTCTGACTTTATAACACGCAATTCTGACTTTATATCCGCAATTCTGACTTTATATCACGCAATTCTGACTTTATATCACGCAATTCTGACTTTATAACACGCAATTCTGACTTTATATCACGCAATTCTGACTTTATAACCTGCAATTCTGACTTTATAACACGCAATTCTGACTTTATATCACGCAATTCTGACTTTATATCACGCAATTCTGACTTTATATCACGCAATTCTGACTTTATATCACGCAATTCTGACTTTATATCTCGCAATTCTGACTTTATAACCTGCAATTCTGACTTTATATCACGCAATTCTGACTTTATAACACGCAATTCTGACTTTATATCTCGCAATTCTGACTTTATATCTCGCAATTCTGACTTTATAACACGCAATTCTGACTTTATATCACGCAATTCTGACTTTATATCTCGCAATTCTGACTTTATATCTCGCAATTCTGACTTTATAACACGCAATTCTGACTTTATATCACGCAATTCTGACTTTATATCTCGCAATTCTGACTTTATAACACGCAATTCTGACTTTATATCACGCAATTCTGACTTTATATCACGCAATTCTGACTTTATATCACGCAATTCTGACTTTATATCACGCAATTCTGACTTTATATCTCGCAATTCTGACTTTATAACCTGCAATTCTGACTTTATATCACGCAATTCTGACTTTATAACACGCAATTCTGACTTTATATCACGCAATTCTGACTTTATATCTCGCAATTCTGACTTTATAACACGCAATTCTGACTTTATATCACGCAATTCTGACTTTATATCACGCAATTCTGACTTTATATCTCGCAATTCTGACTTTATATCTCGCAATTCTGACTTTATAACACGCAATTCTGACTTTATATCCCGCAATTCTGACTTTATAACCTGCAATTCTGACTTTATATCACGCAATTCTGACTTTATATCACGCAATTCTGACTTTATATCTCGCAATTCTGACTTTATAACCTGCAATTCTGACTTTATATCTCGCAATTCTGACTTTATATCACGCAATTCTGACTTTATATCACGCAATTCTGACTTTATAACCTGCAATTCTGACTTTATATCACGCAATTCTGACTTTATAACCTGCAATTCTGACTTTATATCACGCAATTCTGACTTTATATCTCCCAATTCTGACTTTATAACACGCAATTCTGACTTTATATCACGCAATTCTGACTTTATAACACGCAATTCTGACTTTATATCACGCAATTCTGACTTTATATCACGCAATTCTGACTTTATATCACGCAATTCTGACTTTATATCTGGCAATTCTGACTTTATATCTCGCAATTCTGACTTTATATCTGGCAATTCTGACTTTATATCAGGCAATTCTGACTTTATATCTCGCAATTCTGACTTTATAACACGCAATTCTGACTTTATATCACGCAATTCTGACTTTATATCACGCAATTCTGACTTTATATCACGCAATTCTGACTTTATATCTGGCAATTCTGACTTTATATCACGCAATTCTGACTTTATATCTCGCAATTCTGACTTTATATCACGCAATTCTGACTTTATATCTCGCAATTCTGACTTTATAACACGCAATTCTGACTTTATATCACGCAATTCTGACTTTATATCACGCAATTCTGACTTTATATCTCGCAATTCTGACTTTATATCTCGCAATTCTGACTTTATAACACGCAATTCTGACTTTATATCACGCAATTCTGACTTTATATCACGCAATTCTGACTTTATATCACGCAATTCTGACTTTATATCTCGCAATTCTGACTTTATATCTGGCAATTCTGACTTTATATCTCGCAATTCTGACTTTATATCTGGCAATTCTGACTTTATATCAGGCAATTCTGACTTTATATCACGCAATTCTGACTATATATCACGCAATTCTGACTTTATATCAGGCAATTCTGACTTTATATCAGGCAATTCTGACTTTATATCACGCAATTCTGACTATATCAGGCAATTCTGACTTTATATCACGCAATTCTGACTTTATATCACGCAATTCTGACTTTATATCTCACAATTGTGAGATGAAAAAGTAGCATTTAGCTTTTTTATTTTTACAAATCAACCCAAAATTTACCAGTGCATGAAAAAACAACATTTTCTGTTTTCACATCTCCATCACACTATACAACACACTGATTGGTGATCTTTGGTTGTTTCCATCAGCTGATCGAGAGAGTCAATATGAGGACACAGAGGAGACGACAAACCGGAAGAGGAAAGGCCGTTCGTCAGCTCCACCGCCCAGCAGCAAGAAGAAGAGGCGACATTAGACACACACACACACACACACACTGCCAAACACGTGTCCCACAGTCCTCTTTTACTGCCCCCCCCCCCCCCACACACACACACACACACACACACTGTGTCTGATGTAAATAGCGCCGGCCAGCGCTGGTGTGTGCTGTAGGATAGTGGTTTTCATATCAGCGGATGGACGTGGATTTTCCTGCGTTGCATCCCGTGTGTGTGTGTGTGCGAGCGCTGTTCTGAAACGTACATGTGACGTAGTGTTGGTGTTTAAGTAACACTCATCCTTCCGGCTCGTCTCTCTCTCTCTCTCTCTCTCTCTCTCTCTCTCTCTCTCTCTCTCTCTCTCTCTCTCTCTCTCTCTCTCTCTCTCTCTCTCTCTCTCTCTCTCTCTCTCTCTCTCTCTCTCTCTCTCTCTCTCTCTCTCTCTCTCTCTGTCCTGCTCGTTTCTGAATAGTTCATGGCTTTTACGTTAGCACATAATGATTCACTTTGTGCTTTTTCTGTTTTTCTAATTCGAGGGGACGCAAACACACACACACACACACACACATTGTAAACATACACTTATTTTTTCCCTTTAATACTCTTTTGCTCATTCTGGATTGGTAGTCTTGTATTGTTCAATCAAAAAAAGTTTTTCTTTTTCTTTTTTTTTTAATAAAAGTTAAGTGAAAAAAAAAAAAAAAAATGTTTGTTTCTCATTTAAACCTTATTTCTAGATCAAGGGTTTTCTCGTCGCATCCAGTGGTTTGTTGACGTGGTCCTCAACTGGTTTGGTCATTAAGCCGTGACCCATATTTTTTAGGAATTTAAACAAAGCTAATTTATTTTAAAAAGGACAATCACACGCGCCGTACCGCTGTGATGATGAATTAACCATGAGCAATACATTTGTTAGTTTTTGTTCATCTTTGTTAATGTTAGTTAATAAAAATACAGCTGTTCATTGTTTGTTCATGTCAATTCACAGTGCATTAACTAATGTTAACAAGATTTTATTAAAGCATTAGTAAATGTTGAAATTAAAAAAGATTAATAAATGAGGTATAAGTGCAGTTCATAAATAGTTCATGCTAACTAAAGTAGTTATTAACTAATGAACCTTAATGTAAAGTGTTACCACCAATACTGATGAATACATATAAGGAAAGGCTATAAAATTATTATAAGGTAAGGCTATTAAATAACAGTCCCAAACTAGTTTCTGTTCCTACAATAAAGTTAGTAAGTTGGCCACCACTGTCATCACAAATATAGAAAATAACACATTAAGTGATATTTTGGGTTAAGGTTATAGAAGCTAGTTACACTGGTGAATACCTAAAACTAGATTGATTATTGCACAGGTGTGCCTTAGGCTGTCCACAATAAAAGGCCACTCTAAAATGTGCAGTTTTACTGTATTGCTCTGGATCGGCGTATACGACAGCGTGTTCCAGGTTCTGCCAAGATTCAGAAACTTCGCACAGCCATTGAAGAGGAGTGGACCAACATCCCACAGGCCACAATCAACAACCTGTCCAATACAGTAAAACTGCTCATTTTAGAGTGGCCTTTTATTGTGGCTAGCCCTAAGGCACACCTGTGCAATACTCCTGCTATCTAATCAACATCTTGATATGCCACACCTGTGAGGTGGATGGATGATCTCGACAAAGGAGAAGTGCTCACTAACACAGATTTAGACAGATTTGTGGACAATATTTGAGAGAAATAGGCCTTTTGTGCACAGAAAAAGTCTTAGATCTTTGAGTTCAGCTCATGAAAAATGGGGGCAAAAACAAAAGTGTTGCGTTTATAATTTTGTTCAGTCTATTATTTATTGAACAATAATAGCCATTATAAACTTTATTTAATATGTTGTAATATCTGTGATATATATTTTTTTCTGGATATCCGGATTCCTTTGAAGTGCCATAAACTAAATCATACCTGTCACGCAATTATCCGTGACTTGTATTATTTTATATAGAAGATATGTGACTCTTCCAGTTTCCCTTTTTGTCCTTCCTTTAATCCCTCGCCCTGTCAGCACAGTTCAAGATATCCAATACCTGTTTGCAATTTGCATCATGTTGAGAAAGGTCGGTGTGTGAATCATATGACAGGCTTTGGACCAGTAGTTAAAGATTCAGAGCTTGATTAAAAAAAAATCTTGATATTCTTCAAGATATCAAGAATCCTTTTGCAGATCTACATCTGTCTGCTTAATTCACCCCCACCCCACACAACTCGTGTATGATATTGGAGTTAAAAAGTTGTTTCATTTCAATGAAAGGAATGTACTATATTTTAGTTGGATAATATTTTTTATTTAATATTTTGTATTTTATGGTACTAAATTATATTTACGTAGTATATATAATCCATTTATTTACGTTTTTGAGCACCGGAAAATTAAATTTCCAACTTTAACTGTTGTAAATCTTGAATGCTTTAAAGCAAGCAAAACTGAAGTTTGATCTCTTTACAAAGATGACACTTGGCAGATTATTGCTCAAGTGAAAAAAGTTTTTTTTAAAAAAGTGAATTTAAAAGAAGTTACAGAATTTTACTTTAAATTTTTAAATGAAATCTATATTTTAAAAAACACTTTTTACTCTAAAACTGCAAGAAAAACAAAGTCATAAATATAAACCAGTTCTGTTCCAAAAAATGTGTTTTCAGTCAGAGTTTGTATGGCTGCAGTACCAAAGGTTTTCACTTGGTAAAATTTGTCTTTTTTTTTACCACATCTCGTGCTGCTTTTTTGACTCCTTTATACATTTTATAAGCTCTTCACGAGTTCTCTGCCGGTCAAAGTACAATCATATATAGGCTACACACATATAATGAGCACATTAATCACAGAACACAGCATTGTTTTGGATGTTCGGTGAGTTTTGTCATGTGACATGAACACATATACATGAACTTAGGTTTGGTATCTATAGGTTCAGTGTTAAAAAGCCAAACATGAAACTTCTTTTCTGGGAGTGTCTGTTGGCCAGTGGCGTCTTTCTATGCGTGTATATATTTACATAATGGCATTAACTGTATAAATTGACCATGATTTCCTACTCATCTGTACTGAAATACTGTACGTGACTGTAAGAGATGCACGTGTCAGAGAGCAGACGCTGGTCATCACACGCTCTCTTAACAGTCAAATCCAGATTCAAACAAGCTTGCTTTGCATGACTCTGGTACAGTATTTCCACAGCAATGGCCATTTACTAAACCACAATAAGTGGAATTTGATCACATCCATCAGTTATTATGATTTTTTGGTCAGACTAGTTCTGTTTATAACTGGCCTCCTGATTTCTGTTCATCTTTTATAAACTGAATATTGTGCTCATAATGTGAACGGACCTGCAGACGCTGACCACAAGCTTCACCGCATTTACATGCATGCATTTAGCAGAGGGTTTATACAAAGCAACTTACAAATCAGTGAAAAACACAAGCAATTAGATTTGGAGCCAACAAATAAATATGAGGAATGTACTTTATACTATAAAATGTGCTTTTTGAGCTCAGGACAATGCCGAAATAGTTTAACTGCAGAACAATACAATACGGACACCGAGGCGTTCCCAGGCCAGCCGGGAGACATAGTCCCTCCAGCGTGTCCTAGGTCTTCCCTGGGGTCTCCTCCCGGTGGGACGTGCCCGGAACACCTTCCCGGGAAGGCGCCCAGGAGGCGTCCGGAACAGATGCCGAGCCACCTCAGCTGACCCCTCTCGATGTGGAGGAGCAGCGGCTCTACTCTGAGCTCCTCCCGAGTGACCGAGCTTCTCACCCTATCTCTAGGGATTGCCCGGCTACCCCACGGAGAAAGCTTATTTCGGCCGCCTGTATCCGGGATCTTGTCCTTTCAGTCATGACCCAAAGCTCATAACCATAGGTGAGAGTAGGAACGTAGATTGACCGGTAAATCGAGAGCTTCGCCTTGCGGCTCAGCTCCTTCTTCACCACAACAGACCGGTACATCGACCGCATTACTGCAGAAGCTGCACCGATCCGTCTGTCAATCTCCCGTTCCATCCTTCCCTCACTCGTGAACAAAACCCCAAGATACTTAAACTCCTCCACTTGAGGCAGGAACTCTCCACCAACCTGAAGTGAGCAAGCCGTCCTTTTCCGACTGAGGACCATGGCCTCAGAATTGGAGGTGCTGATTTTCATCCCAGCAGCTTCACACTCGGCTGCAAACTTTCCCAGTGCATGCTGAAGGTCCTGGTCTGAAGGGGCCAACACGACAACATCATCCGCAAAGAGCAGAGACGAAATCGTGTGGTCTCCGAACCTGACACCCTCCGGCCCCTGGCTGCGCCTAGAAATTCTGTCCATAAAAATTATGAACAGAACCGGCGACCAAGTCAAGTCATCTTCATTTATATAGTGCTTTTAACAATGGAGATTGTTTCAAAGCAGCTTTAAAGAGATAAACATACAATTTACGGTAACAGAGATTGTTTTGGCTTTATAGCGATTTTGAATAATGTTATTTCCAGCTAAAGTTGGTTTTGATTGATTCACTTCCAGCAAAATTATCATTTGTTATTACATTAGGGGCCACTAAGACGACGGCGTTCTCTCTAAACAGACTTTAAACGCGAACCTGTGACCTGATGGCGTTCACATGCGCATTAAAAATTGATTCTATAGTTATATTCGTTTGAATATGTGTGCGCAGGTTTGTAATTTTCCTACCAACCATGCCTAAACAAACTACTTGTCTTGCCTATACATTAGATAAAGAATTTAGTTTTATTTTATCACTTCGGGGTACGCGAACCAGATTTTCAACAACGCTTTATCTGTAGAGTGGGAAAGGGATCCTCCATAGGGAGAGGATAGTTGACACTTCAGCACTGCATTGTCATCGGGTCCAGGCGAATCTCCTTCGTCAGATCTGGAAACGGCCTGGATCCGGCAGGCTGCAGGAAAACCTCGGGATAAACAAAGACACTAATATTAGCGTAGATGCCATTCTTCTTATGATGTAACGAGTACATCAAGATTTAAGGGAAGTGTTCCCAGTTCCCAAAGGGCAGCCCTGCCGGAGTCCAACATGCACCGGAAACAAGTCTGACTTACTGCCGGCAATGCGAAACAAGCTCCTGCTCCGGTCATACAGGGACCGGACAGCCCTTAGCAAAGGACCCGGGACCCCATACTCCCGGAGCACCCTCCACAGGCCGCAGCGAGGGACACAGTCGAATGCCTTCTCCAAATCCACAAAGCACATGTGGACTGGTTGGGCAAACTCCCATGAAC